TCAGTTCCCATTCTGCTGGCAACCACTAATCTACTTTGGGCAGATTTGTCCATTCTGGACAATTCATAGAAATGGAATCATATAATATGCAGCTGTTGGTGTCTGGCTTTTTTCACTTAATGATTTCAAGGTTCATCTAGAAGTGGTGTAATCAGTAGTAGCATAATTCAACACTCCATTCCTTGTTATGGCTGAATAATATTCTCTCACATAGGTATACCACATTTTTATTTATTCATTAGTTGATAGACATTTCAGTTTTCACATTTTTGGTCATTATAAACAATGCTGCTATGAACATTTGTGTATAAGTTTTGTGTGAACATATGTTCTCAGTTTTCTTGTGTACAATACTAGGAGCAGAATTGCTGGGTTGTATGGTACCCCTAACTTTTGGAAGAGCTGCTAAACTTTTCTGAAGAAGCTACACCATTTCACATTCATCTCAGTAATAAATGTAGTTTATAACTTCTTCACTTCTTTGCCAACATTTGTTGCTGTATGTCTGTTATCATATCGATCCCAGTGAAATATTTTCCCTTGTTTTAACAAATATAAATCAGAATTAAAATTGTATGTGTTAAAATAATCCTCCCAACCACTGCTTAATTATAGCAAATATTTGGTCCTATTTTACAGGTGGGAAACTGTCATAAAAGAGGTCAAGTGGTAGCTAGAAAGATTAAATTTTCAGCTATTTTTGGATTTGACCTAGGTCACTATTAAAACCCTACAGAAAAATAGAAAACCCGGTCAATTTGGTCTGCAAACGTCCTGCCTGGTTTCCACCTGCTGCACAGTGAAGCATCCTGCAGCGTCGGGTTTCAGGCTTCCCCTGGCCATTGTGATACTGGAATTCTACAGGAAAGCAATGAGTCCTGCTGAGCTCTGACTTCTCATACCCCCAAGTCTGTTTAAAAACCTGGCTTAGACTTGACCTCTTCCTGAAAATGTTCTTGATTTACTCTACTTGGACCTTTCACTAACTTCGACACCTGAACAATTGCATGATGCTTTTTCTCCCCAACTAGAGTGTCTTGTATTTGGCTTTTTATTTTGTTTCTTCTAAACCAGTCATACAAACTCATTAAAAGGAGGGGTTATCTTTATTTTAACTTTTCGTTGTTGACACTAGTACAAATGCCCCCATTTCCCATCCCCTTTGCCCACCTTCACACTGTCCCTGTACCCCCTTCCCTCTGGCCATTACCACACTGTTGTCTGTGTCTATGGGTTATGCATATACTGTATTTTGCCATGTATAATGTATACTTTTTGCCCAAATTTTTGAGAGAAAAAGAAGGATGTGCATTATACATGGGTAGTACTAATTCTGTATCTATATAAATATTTTTAATTCTTTTATTTATGCTTTTGCATTGAAAGTGTACTGTAGAAAGCAATAATGATATCTATATGCAAAATATAAATAAATGATTGAATTCAAAAATTAAAACGAAAGATTTTCTTCCTGCAAAGTTTGGGCCAAAAATGTGGGTGCGCATTATATACGACAAAATATGGTATCTTCTTTGGCTAATCCCTTCACCTTCATCCAGTCCCCTCCCCACTCCCAACCGCTGTCAGTCTGTTCCGTGTGTCCAGGCCTCTGTTTCTATATTGTTCATTAGCTTATTTAATTCATTTGAGTCCACATATAAGTGAGATCATAGGGTATTTGTCTTTCTCTGACTGGCTTATTTCACTTAGCATAATAATCTCCAAGCCCATCCATGCTGTTGCAAAAGGTTAGGAGTCCCTTTACTGTGGCCATATAGTACTCCACTGTGTGAATGCACCACAGCTTTTTTGTCCACTCATCTACTGATGGGTGTGGGTTGTTTCCAGATATTGACTACTGTGTCTATTCTTTTGGATTAGTGTTTCAGGATCTTAGGGTGTATTCCCAGCAGTAAAATCTCTGGGTCAAAAGGCAGTTCCATTTTTAATTTTCTTGAGGAAACCCTGGTTTTCCATAATAGCTGAATGAATTTACATTTCTACCAACAGTGCACAGCATTCCTGTTTCTTCATTCTCACCAACACTTGTCTTTTTTTGGTGACAGTCGCTCAGATGGGTGTGGTATCCTATTGCAGTTATGATTAGCAATGTTGAGCATCTTTTCATGTACCTTGTGGCCATTTGGATGCCTTCTTTGGGAAAATTTCTGATTCCTTTGCCCATTTTTAAGTCAGATTTATTGTTATTGAGTAGTATGAGCTATTAACCCCTTATCTGATATGTGCTCTGAAAATATTTTCTCCCATTCTTTAGGTTGTTTTCCATTTTGTGTCTTTGGCTATACAGAAGCCTTACAGTTTGATGTCATCCCACTTATTAATTTTTGCTTTTGTTGTTTGTGCTTTTGGTGTCGTATCCAAAATAATCATTGCTAAGACCAGTGTTGAGGAGCTTCTTCCTTGTTTTTGTCTAGAAGTTTTACAGTTCCAGATCTTGTGTTTAATTAAAGCCTTTGACCTATTTTGAGTTAATTTTTTTGAGTGGAGTCCAGATTGGGGGTCCAATTTCATTTTTCTGCATGTGTTTATTCCCATCACCATTTTTTGAAGAGACTGTTCTTCACTCATTGGGTGTTGTTGGCTCCCTGTTGAATGTTAACCTCATATGTGATTTAATTCTGGGTTTTCTATTCTGTTCCATTTATGTGTCTATTTTTCTGCCAGCACCACACAGTTTTGATTACTATAGCTTTGTGGTAGTTTGAAATCAGGGAGTGTGATGCCTCCAGCTTTGCTCTTCTTTTTCACGATTGCTTGGGCTATTTGGGGTCTTTTCTGGTTTCATACAAATTTTTGGGTTTTCCTATTTCTGTGAAAAATGCCTTTGGAATTTTGATAGAGGTTGCATTGAATATATAAATGGCTTTGGGTGGTATGGACATTTCAACAGTATTAATACCTCCAATCCACATGCACAAAATACCTTTCCATTTGTTTTGTCTTTTATTTCTTTCAACAAAGTCTTGTAGTTTTCATTGTAGTATAGATTTTTCACTGTTAAATTTATTCCTGGGTACTTTGTTTTTGATGCCATTATGAATGGGATCATTCTATTTTTTAAAGATTTTATTTATTTTTAGATGGGGGAAGGGAAGAAGAAAGAGGGAAGGAAACATTGATGTGCAAGAAATTTTGATCGGCTGCCCTTCACACCCTAAGCTGGGACCTGGCTCACAGCCCAGGCACGTGCCCTGACCAGGAATTGAACCCACCGCCTTTTGGTTTGTAGGACAACACTGAGCCCGCTGAGCCACACCAGTCAGAGCAGGATAGTTCTATTTCTTTTCCATGTGTTTCATTGTTGGTATATAGAATTATAACTAATTTTGATACACTGATTTTATATCCCACAACTTTACTGAATTTGTTGACTAGTTCCAACAGTTTTATTGTTCTCATTGGGATTTTCTGTCCAGACCTCAGATCACGTAGACTGTCTCATGTTTTCCTCTGACCGTATTACGTCAAAATGCATATCCTCTAGGTTATTGTCTTCCATCTGCTCTACTCTAATATGGATGCTCTCTATTCTATTCTTAATTTCATTCATTGATTTCTTCATGACATGCCTTTATAAGCAGGGAGTATGTTCCAAGGCTCCCAGTGGATGCCTGAAGTTGCAGGTATCAAACCCTAAGCACTGTTTTTTTTTTTTTTCTTATGTAAGCTACCTACAATAAATTGGGCACAGTAGATTAACAATAAGTATAAAGTAAAACAATTACAACAATATACTGTAATCAAGTTACATGAATGGCTTTGGGACCATTAGGTAAAATAAGGGTTACTGGAACCCATGCACTGCAGTACTGCAGTATCGCTAAAGTCAATCTGATCCGTACGCAGCGTGGCTGCCGCAGATGCAGGGATGACACGCACCCCGGGCAGGACGGACAACACAGGTACGAGATTTCATCAGGCTACTCAGAACTGTGCGTAGTGTAAAACATCAGTTGTTTATTTCCAGGGTTTTGCATTTAATATTTTATAACTGAAGAAGCAAAAAGCAAACCTGTGGATGGGGGAATACTGTATTTTAAATTCTTTATCAGTTACACTGCAGTGTTCTATGGCTTTTAGCTTGGTTGTTGGAGAATTCTCTTTCAGGGGTACCATTTTCTTGATTTTTCGTGTTTGTTGTATTTCTGTTGTTGTTTTCACATTTGAGGTAACGGGCATATCCGTAAGTCTTTACTGGTTGCCTTCGGATGGGGCACTGACGGTGAGTGTCCGTGCTGCTGTGTCAAGGTTCCCCTAGTTTTGAGTGGGAAGACTTGTTCCTCCATCATCGCTCCCTCTTGTGGCAGAATACTTTATCTTTCATCTTTTCTTGTAAGTCACCAGGCTGCCTGCTGGAAACCTCTTTTTTTCCCCCAGAAAGTGGTGCTGTATCTCCAGTTTGTGGTTTCTCTCTTGCTCACAGATCCTGGTCCGTTTTTCTGAGAACACTCTGATGACTGGACCCACTTATGCTACCGCACTCAGGAACATGTACGAGGATCTGACCACAGTGGAAGGGGGTGGGGAAGTGGGTTGAGCATTTGGGGTACTGGCGGTACCCACAGACCTGGTGGGGAGAGTGAGAGGGATACTGCAGAGGCTTGTGGGCAGATTTCCCAGTGACGTCCTGAAGTAGTCAGGAGGAACCAGGTTCCTTTCATGCGCTTTGATATTATCTCTTTCACTTTCTCTCCCCTCCCTTCAGTACTGCAAGCACCGCCTCAGTACTCTGGGTGCTGCTGGAGAGAAATGGACTTCTCCAGTCGAGTCCCCCCCAACTAGGATAGTCAGGGATTCCCTCACTGCTCTCTGCCGCCTCCGCGGGACAGACTGCCGCCAGGGGACAGCCTCACCCCAGGCAGCTTGGTGCTGCGTGTACAACTGGCCACAGAAGAGAATGTTTCCTTTTTGTCTCTACACTAAGTTACTGACACACTCCATCGTTCATTTTTACAAACATTTAATACCATTAAGAAGGACAAAACTATTTTGTTTGCTGGCAGACTAGAATTAAATACTATTACAGCTGATTTTCATTTATGAACAAAGAAGAATTTAAAAGAAAAATGGCATACTTTGAAAGGTACCATTTACCCACAATGATATTTAAAATATTCTAAAATTATTTTAAAAATTAGATAAAACAATAAGAATTAAAATAATAAAAGTCATATTCATCTTTCATCTTCACTTCTAAAGAATAAGAAAATGCTCCAGAAAAAGAGAATTGACTAAAGACTAAAGGAATAAATGTGATAGTATACTGATAGGAACCCAAGTATCTTAAGAAATGCCTTCTCTCTAACTCAATTACAAAGGAGCTTCAATATGATGAATTCTTTACTTTCCCTTTTATATTAAGGGAATAAATATGGTCATACTTAAAACAGGCATAAAAAGTGGGGAATAAGGCATTTGAATATTTAGGAAAATATGGGTATGACAATTCAAACAAATAAAGGCTTAGTTTGCTTTTATATATATTGTTTTGTTACCACTTATATAAGCCATTTATAAGGGAAAGTAGCTTTTCAAAAGTCTAGTAAAAAATGGTAGACATTTTTGGCAATTTTTGTTAATTATTAGGCAATGTTCCATATTAGAAAAAATAAGTTCCTCTTACAGCTCTAAATGGATCATCACAATTTATTTAATAACCATTTCACATTGTGGATTTAAGTACTGCATTTTGTCTTAGCAGACTATAATGCACAAGTAGTATAAAATGGGATTTACATATGTTAGCAGGAAGTAAAGGTGATATAGTAACCACTGTTAATGACTTTCACTTATTAAGATTCATTTTAAAGGAATACATATCTGTCAAACTTAAGTGGACTCCTTCAAAGTCCAAAGAAATGTAATTTAACTCAAATTTTTAACAAGTTATTAAAAGACAATGTATGATATAAATTAAAATGCATCTTAAAAGTTCCAAATATACTTATGAAATATAAAGATGTTAGCTCTGGTACATAAGAAAATATTTACAACTAATATAAAGCAGACTGTAGACTATACATGTTCTATGTATAAAAATAAGTAAAATATTTATAGTCCAGGCCCAGGGGTCTTTTCCAAGCAAGGTTTTTTCTGTGCTGCTGCATCACAGGACCGTCTCACCAGCATTACTAGAACCCGTACAGCATGGAGGAAACCAAACAGTAATTGGGATTTACAGCTCATACTGCCTTTTCAGGGCCTGGATGTCTTCTAAAGTGAAAGGTTCGTTTGCGGTATCTGAGAGGGCATCGATAAGCTGTTCAAGTTGTTCCTTCTGGCCCTTGCTAATTAGTGTCAACATCATCTGAAAGAAAGAGAAAAACTGTATTAATGTAAAACATTAACATTTTAAAGTTATAGAAAGCCTGAGAAGAAATCAATCTCATTTAATAAAGATACTTTGCCGCTTACCTTAAACCTCTCTGCTTTACTCAGATATAGAAGATGCTGATACACCAGTGAGGGATCTTTATCAAGAAGCTCATTTTTCAGAGACTGAATGAGGAAGAAGAACATATCCCCGTCCAGTTTGTTACTCAACAACGCTGGCAAATCTTTCGGTTCAGTCATGGCTAAAAGATGTGCGCAGGCCTCTTCATCTTTCCTGGAACTGACAGCATTTACAACCTGGCCAAATTCATAGGCGTTGTTGGGCTTGGTGACGGGCAGCTTCTCACGGTACCCCGGCGGCCCGCGGCTGGTGTCGCCCTTGTCCAAAGCATGGCGGCCGGAGCTCACCTCCTCAGGGGGCCCCTCCAGCTCGTCGCGGCTGTCGTTCACCTTCACGAGGGAAAAACTGCACTGTGACACACGCAACGCCCACCACACACATCCCAAGTTACATTTACTGAAACGGGAAGGGACGGAAAACCCAAGCATAATGTATTTTCCTCAAGTTCTAAGTGAGAAATGTAAACTTTGTTATATATATCATGACATCTACTTTTTTTTAGGAAGAGAAGTTTTCAGGTATTAGTATTCATAAACATACTTTTTAGGTTTCAAAATTTTTTACATTGAAAATTATAATGGTTATTTTTATAATTTTCCATGAATAAAGCTGCTATATAAAAGACCTTGAACAACTTTATCTCTTTATCATAACTTTTACATTTACTTATGTCTTTACATTTAATAGAGAAACTAAACTTACATTTTTCAATTCTCTTAAAAGTTTTTCATAACTTTTACATTTATTTTTTATATTTAATAGAGAAGTAAACTTGTATTTTTCATTCCTCTGAAAACAGCTTTTCTTTCTTTTTAGAAGAAAACACTTCCTAGTCTCTCACATGTTAGTTTCTTACTCTTGGCAGAAATGTAATATGATCAATGAGATGACAACTAGATTCATTAATGCAGAAGAACTGGTGACAGGCATGCTTCACTAAAAGTGAAGCAGAAAGCTCCAGCACAAGACACTGAGTTATCTGAAACCACAAGGGGAGGTTGCAGTCCGGGGTGGTCCAAGACCTCTGAGGAAGCCAGCCTTGTTTCAGAGCGCTAAAGGGTCTGAGGCAAACTGGAAAACCTCTATGGGGTGTGGCCTGCAGGGCCACTAAAACAAAATCAGTCCTGTTGGAATTTTCCAGGTTTACCCTGAAGCAAAGCTCCATCTCCCAGGGCAATCTGGAAGCAATACAAACACTGGCAGGCTGGTGGGCGGCGGGGCAGACAGGGCAAAGAAGAAGAACCTAGTGCAGACTCCCAGTACTGTCCACGGCCCCACTGAGAAAATACAAGGGCTAATCATCATGGTAAAGGAAACATTTGTCTTGATCATTGGTTAAAATTTCCTCACTAAGCATTGGAATGAAAACACAAAATTAAAAGAATTTTTTGTAGGACTCATAGGAATATGACCTTAGAATCCAATATATGATCCCCAAAAATACTTTGAAAGATTATCAAATACAAATACCTCTTGAATCTCAATTTTCCTTCTCTCCTTTTCTTTGCTGAACGATGCTGTTTTATCCTTCACATTAAGGAATCTGGTTACCTCTTCCAGTTCCGTCTTTGCCTCGACAATATTTGAGTCTAGCAGGAGAACTTTATTGAGATCATTTATGCTTTTCTCATAATCCTGGCAGGAGAGAGGCAGAGAGAAGGACCGTCACAGATGACAGGAGAGGGGCGCAGACTAGCCAGGCTGGAGCGAGAGTGCTGAGCTGAGCGGGGCGCCAGGCTGCAGCAGGTTCCCCTTCGGACCACGATTAGCAAGTTGGGCTCTGAGGTAACACCTGGGCTCGAACATTGCAACCCATACACAGTGCACATCCTCTACAACAGACAGGACACAGAGTCTGGACTTAGAAGACTCAAGTTAAATTCTGCGTCACCGTAACCTCCACAGTGCCTAACACGTGGTGGGCGCTGGCTGTCTGCTAAATGAATGAAGTCATGAACACCCTACTAGCAGTGAAACTTGAACAAGATCCCACTTAACCTTTCTGAGCTTCAGTTTTTCTTATCTCTGAAGTACGAATAACAAAAGTTTTTCTGTTCTAGTTTTCATGGGGCTGTACCGATACATGCATCAAAATAACAGGAGTGGCTTAAACCTATAAAGAGCTATACAGTATTAGTTGTTACCATATTATCTTGTCCCATAAAACCCTTCAAAGTTTTATACTGTTCAAATAGGCTAGAATGGACATTTATTCTTCCATAAAGAGTCAGACAACACATTGGAGAGGCCAAGAGGAAAGAAAAGAAATCTAAGCTTAACAAAACACAGCACTGATTCTGGTAGCAGAGACATAAACCACAAAATCAGCCTGTCGTGACAGGCCATATGCTAGAACTACAGACTAGACTCATGTTTTGACTAAACTGAAATTAATTCTGTGAGGAGGCGAAGCATTCCAACAATGAGTAACCTCTCTAAGTATTCATGACCTACCAGTAACAGCACACACTGGAGGCTGAGGCAGGGGACGGGTAAGCCAGGGTCATGTGGCAATCCGGAAGGACTGGCTGTAACGCCACATCCCTTCCCCTTCCACCCAGCAACACGCCAGAACAAGGGCGATGGAGCAATGAGTTTCAAGACATAACCTTAAATCTTCTCTGATTTACAAAAAAGAAAAGGCAAACTATTCACACACTGTGCTACATTAAGTAGTACGAGTAACAAATCTCTATATACCACTGTGTCACAACAGCACAATGGGAACCTGAAAAACAAACGGCACTGCATTTCCATCCTGCGTGTCCTAGGCGAGGGCCACACTAAAAGGCAAGGGCGTGGGGCAGCAGGGCAAGTTGAGAGAGTGATAATAGCCAATTCTTACCATTCTCAGCCCTTTGCAAGTATTATTATTTTACCCTCACAATAGTCTTCTAAATGCTAACTTCTGTTGTCTGCATTTTAAAGAAAAGAAACTGAGGCACAGAAAGATAATTTTTGGGATGAGCAAGGCACAAACAGCCAGAATTATAGGTGCACTGTAACACAGCTGTGGAGCTCAAGTGAGAGGCCTGAAGATGGGGATTTGTGAGCTACAGCCTTGGAAATGGAAGTCCAACACCACAAGCGTCAGTACGATTTTTTCCATCTATTCCAGAGAAGTTGGTGCTTGAAGAGCAATCTGTGCGGTGGAAGGAGACTAGAGAATACAGGAAGTACACTCTGATAAAAGTGTTAAAACAGAGGCAGGCAAGTGTGACGAGAGGGCAGGACAGCAGGATGGGTAGGGACAGCATCAAGTGGGGAGGCAGTGGGAGACGAGGAGGCCAGTCTGCCAGACCCCACAGAGTGGTCAGGCGAGGTCCATTCACCTGACAGGTGGTCACAACCACATCTGTGTGCCAGGAACTGGATCACCGTGGGAGAAAGGATGGCTGTGGTCGCAGCCAGAATGGAAGCGGACATCTTATGAAAGGGAACGAAAAAAAGCAAGTAAACAAATGAATAAATAAAAAGAGTATGGACTGTCATTAATGCAATTAAGAAAACCAAAGGCTGAGATGGATCCTAATGAGGGGGACGGGATCTCCCTTTGATACAGCAGTCAGGGAACACAAGGCCCAAAGAGGAACCGGCTATGCAGAGTGGAGGGAGGAGGGAAGGTTAGTCAAAGAGAAAAGTGTAGCTGTGGCAGAGAAAAGGACATGGGCATTAAAAGTTACTATTGACCTCATTAGGCCATAAAAAAAAATGAAGAAGTGTAATTGCATGGGTTTGTGATAACAGTTACTATTAATCAATGTGCTTAAACTCTAATCAGAATAATTATTTTATAAGATCTTACTCGTTTTGAGATCTTGGTCTTGTAGCATCCCTAATTGGCTGTAAAACCCAGAAGGCAGGAATTGTGTCTCATTCACCTCTATGCTTCCGAAACCTAGCACAAAAGAGGCGCTCAACCAAAGAAACATGTTGTAAGCGACAGTAAAATGTTCAGTTATCTCCTCTTGTGAAGAACAGTTGTACATGAAAGAAAGCTCTTTATTTTTCAAAACCAGCACGCAGGAAAAAAAAACTGAAGCCAGCTAGAGAACAAACAGGAGATCCAAGAAAGCAGCGTGTTCCACCAACAGCTCAAGGCAGGGCACCTGCCACTGTGGGCCCTTGTGACATTTCCTCATGTCTGTCACCCGAGGAAGCAGGTCCAGGCGTGGGTGATGCAAGTATAAACAGCCGTAGCCTTTGCAGATCTGCAATTAAACTCACGTGGCACATAGCTCAAATGACAGGCACGTAAATGAAGCTGTAAGAAGTCAAACCAGAAAAACAAGATGCCAGCCTCAAACTTTAGTGGGATAGGATTACTCGAATTTAAGATTATCTTTCTGCATTATAATACAGTTTCTAGAACTCACTCCATGGAAGTATAAAACTCTGGTCTTTCATTAGGTACATCTTCTGACTTTCGGTCAGTCAGGTAAACAAGTTCAAAGAGTCGGGCAGCCAGAATGAAGTAAACTGCTGGGAGAGTGGGCATGTATGAACTCGTGAGTCACGCAGATCTACCATCATGCACCGAAATCCATTAAGCTCAATAAAAGTTGAATTAATTTTGCCCTGGCTAGGTGGCTGGGTTGTTTGGAGTATCGTCCTGCACACCAATAAAGGTTGCAGGTTCAATTCCTGGTCAGGACACATACCTAGCTTGTGGCTTCTAACCCTAGTCAGGGCATGTATGGAAGGCAATTGATTCATGTTTCTCTCTCACTTTGATGTCTCTCTCTCTCTCTCCCTTCCTCTCTCTAAAATCAAGACATATCCTGGGCGAGGATTTTTGAAAAATATATTGTTAAAATGCCTATACTACTACACAAAGCAATCTGCAGATCCAATGCAATCCCTATTAAAAGTTCAAAGGCATTTTTCACAGAAGTATGAAAATCCTAAAACTTGTAATTAACCACAAAACACCCCAAAAAGCCAAAGCAATCTTGAAAAAGAACAACAAAGCTGGAAGCATCACCCTTCCTAATTTAAAACTATATTACAAAGCTACAGCAATCAAACCAGTATAGTATTGGGCATACATACACAGGCACAGATCAAAGAAAAAGAATACAGCTTAGAAATAAACCCTCACATATATGGTGAATTAACTTACAACAAAGGGGTCAAGAATTCTCTTTGTTGAAAGGGCAGTCTCTTCAATAAATGGTGTTGGGAAAACTAGAAGGCAACATACAAAAAATGAAACTGGACCACTATCTTATACCATACATAAAAATCAACTCAAAATGGATTAAAGACTTGAATGTAAGACTTGGAAGCATAAGATGAGAAGAAAACATAGGCAGTAAGTTATTGACAATGATTTCTTTGGATTTGACACCAGAACCAAAGGCAACAAAAGCAAAATAAACAAAGTGGGGCTACATCAAACTAAAAAGTTTCTGTATGGTAAAGAAAACCATTAAATGAAAATGCAACCTACCGAGTGGGAGAAAATATTTGTAAATTGTATCTGATAAGAGATTAATATTCAAAACATATAAAGAACTCAGCCTTGACTGGTATAGCTCAGTGGATTGAGTGCAGGCCTATGAACCAAAGCATCACTGGTTTGATTCCCAGTCAGGGCACATGCCTGGGTTGCAGGCCATATCCCCAGTATGGGGTGTGCTAGAGGCAACCACACACTGATGTTTCACTCTCTCTCTTTCTCCCCGCCTTTCCCATCTCTCTAAACAAATAAAATCTTTAAAAAATATTTCTTAAAAAAACATAAAGAACTCATACAACTCAATCACAAAAATAACAACCTGATTAAAAACTAGGTGGAGGAACTGAATAGTCATTTCCAAGGAAGACATACAGATGTGCAGCAGGTATGTGAAAAGGTGCTCCACACACAGTCATCAGGAATCAAAACCATGAGATATTGCTTCACACCTGTTAGAATGGCCCTTATCAAAAAGACAAAAAAAAAAAAAGATGTGGAGAGAAGCGAGCCCTTGTGCACTGTTGATGAAAACATAAATCTGTGCACCTAATATGGAAAGCAGTATGAAGTTTCTTCAAAATTAAAAACAGAACTGCCTTATGACCTAGCGATCCCACCTGTGGGTATATATCCAAAGTAAACAAAAACACTAATTCAAAAAGATATCCCACTGCCATGTTCACTGCAGCATTATTTACCATAGCCAAGACATGGAAACAACCTAAATGTCCATCAGTGGAAGAATGGATAAAGAAAATGTGGTACACCCTGGCTGGTGTGGCTCAGTGGATTGAGCACTGGCCTGCAAACCAAACGGTCACCAGTTAGATTCCCTGTCAGGGCACATGCCTGGGTTGTGGGCCAGGTCCCCAGTAGGGGGCACATGAGAGGTAACCACACATTGATGTTTCTTTCTCTCTCTCCCTCCCTTCCCCTCTCTCTAAAAATAAGTAAATAAAATATTTAAAAAAGGAAAATAAAAGAAAATGTGGTACATATATGCACTAGAATATTATTCAGCCACAAAAAAGAAGGCAATCCTGCCATTTGTGACTATACAGATGGAGCTTGAGGGCATTATGCTAAGTGAAATAAGTCAGAGAAAGACAATTATCATATGACCTCACTTACATGTGGAATCTAAATAAACAAACAAATGAACACCTGAACTCACAGATACAGAGAACAGACTGGTGGCTGTCATAGGTGAGGTGGGGGTAGAGAATGGGTGAAGGTGCTCAAAAGGTACAAACTTCCAATTATAAAATAAGTCAGCCATGAGGATGTAATGTAGAGTTTGATGACTATAGTTAATAATACTGTATCTATTAATAATCATATATCTGACACCTGCTTAGAGTAGATCTTAAAAGTCCTCCTCACAAGAAAAAAAAATGTAACTATGCGTGGTGATGGATGCTAGTAAGACACAGCGTGGTGATCACTTTGCAACATATACATATAGCAAAGCATTATGTTCTATACCTGAAACTACTATTATATGTCAATTAAGAAAATCTTTGCAGAGAATAAAGATCCAAGACCTGCACACTTCCAATGTGTGAATTTCATTTTATTAGTCCTTAGTCAAGTTGACTTTAAAAAAAATACCATTTCAGAAAAAGCCATTTTGTTTTGTATGTTCTGATTTTTCCTTGTAACGTTATTTTCTACAGACGTGACTATTCATTCAGCATATACAAAAGTGTAATTATACAATACTCTCTTTGAAAGTGTAATTTTTCTTAGAGAAGAATGCCTTCTAGTCTCATACTGACCACCAGCCAGTGTGAAGCCAGAGCTGCCCAGTCTCAGACATGTCTCTACCACCTTCCACCCTGATGCCTTCCCTCCACCTCATAGACAACCCTCATCCTTTGCTGGGAAATCCAATGGCATTGCTGGTAGCCTTGAGTGATTCAGTAAAAAGCATCCCTATCCCTTAAAGTGGACTCATCGTAACTAGCAGCAGTCCTTGGGAAATCAGGAAATAAACTATAGTTCCTCAGCTGGTAGGAGTCTTAGAAGTTATCTAGCTCCACATTATAACGAGGGGAAACCTGGGGCCTATTCCAAGGTTTCAGGGCTGGTTAGTGTGGAACTGGGATGACCTCCCGGGGTTCTCTCACTCCCACCCCATGATCCCAAGATGGATGTTCGAGGACACCACAGGATTCATTCACAGCTGAGCTTCGCATATTAAAATGAAGATTTCCTCACCTGGAGTCCTTTATGAGCCAGAGCTCGTCTATAGTACGCTTTCACGTTCCCGTTATCTATCTGAAGCGCCTGATCACAGTCTTGCTTTGCCTCTTCAAACTGGCACAGCTTCAAGTAACACAGAGCTCTGGTATAACGTAATGGAACTCAGTATTATGAAAGGAAAAGACAATATACCTGTAAGTTTAGACAGCTAAGAAAAATCCGAAAATAGCTCAATAAGTATGTTTCTGTACCACAGCTGTTTCTCAACTGAAACCCAACACTTAAGTCCAATTATGGCATTTTCTGGCAACACATGTGATTCCGGCTCTGGGGATATAACTGCAAACAAAGTACAGCCCCAGCCTGGAGGAAGGGACAGGACAATTGAGACAAGCAAACCCAATAAAATATCTGCACAGGATGCTCTGGAGAACATAGCTGAGAAGCTCATCAGATCCAGTAGGGCTGAGGAGAGGGGACGAACGGTCAGAAAAGACTTCCTGGAAGAGGTGACACTTACGTTGAAGCCCAGACTTTGAAGTGAGAATTTCCCAAAGCAAAGGCACTGGGGTGAGTCCAGAAGTGGGGAGGGGAGAGTGGAGGCCAAGGACACCATATGTGCACAGTTCAATGGTGACAGAGAACGAGGTGATCCTGACGGAGGAAGAGAAGTGCCATGTGGCCACAGTGCAGGGATGAGACTGGAAGAGCAGGCAGGCCTGATCACCAGGGGCTTGTAAAGCATGGCAAGGAAGGTGAGCTGTACGTTGAACCTAATAGGTTTTTAGACAGGGGCTGACATGTTTGCTGTGTTTAGGAAGATTGCTCTTGCTACAACTAGGAGAAGGAGAGAAGAGGGAACAAGACTGCCAAGCACAGCACGAAGGGTGTTGCAGATGTCAAGAAGAGACAGTGGTCATCCCGAGCAGGGAGTGACGGTGACGGTGGAGAGAAAGGCTCCCGCTGAGGAAGTAGGACATCGAGCTTCTGACACACTCGGAGAGGGAGGCATCACTGGTCAGGGAGGACAACCAGCCATGCGAGCAGAAGGAAGAGGGGAGCTCAGGTCCGAAGCCCAGAGACAGACTTAGAGGCCATAACTGGAGGTGGTGAATGGGCCTGCAGAGAGAACAAAATGGCCCGAGAGCATAGAGAGCAAAAGGGGTCTGCACCTTTGGGACCCCAAGAATATCAGAGGGAGAAGAGGAAAGCCAGGCGGGTGAGCTTTCTGCAGTGCCGCCAGTGGGAGGGTGGTCTCCAGGGAATAGCGGCCATTAGTGCCCAGTTCCACAGAGGCTGAGCAGAAGGGTAGAAAAACACCTGGTGGAGTCAGTGACAAAGTTTCAGCAAAAAGGTTACCAGAGGAAAACATACAGAAACCAAGCACTGAGAAGTTTAGTTAAAAAGAATTAATCTGAAATAGCTAGAAAAACTCACTCTATGAGCTCCTATTCTTCAGGAACTATAACTTATTTTTCCTTATCACTCACGACTCTATGGACTCCCTAAAATTCCCCAAATCATCACATCCTAGGTAACTATCTTTTACCAAAATGTGGTAAAGATGGCACCTGAGTGGCATTCTAAAACAATCTGCCCATTCCTGCTGTGCACTGAAAGACGCTGGGCCCTTCCCTTAGCACTTCAAGAGAAAGGGCACTTATGACACTAATTTGAAGCGCCCTCCCACTCCTACCGTGGAGGGCAGGGTGCTCAGGGCTGCGGCTGCAGGGAGGCCAGCCGGCCCACCAGGCGGGGTCGGAGGAGCAGTCAAAGCCCGAGGGGCAGGCAGTCTGTGTGAAACACGCCACCCAGACCTTCCAGCTCACCACACCACTGCCTTTGGTCTCCCCAGAACTCCCACGGCCCCTCCGCTTAGAAAACGTGCTATATAAATTCTCAGTCATTGGAAAAAACTTTGACAATTAATTTGCCTATATTTTTAATAAAAATATTAATGTTAAGTATATAGAGTTAAAAAGAACTTGCCTGTTTGTATAAATGGCACACTCCTTATTGTTAATATTTAAGCATTCACTGTATTTACTAAGAGCATCTTTATAGTTTTTGTCTTTTACACATTGATTTCCTTCTTCTTTAAGGGTTGTAAACATTTTTTCATCTATGGAATCCAAAAAAATAAAAAAGAGGAAATATTTATATAAGCAACTCTACCAAATCTTAAACACATCTGTAAGTAAATCCGTTGCTGCAAATTAACCCGACCGCATACCATGCAGAACTTTAAGTCTAAATGGAACAAAACTTTGTGTACAATTAAAAAGATAAATTGGCTATAAGTAAACGTGATTATATAATTATGACACTTGAAAATAAAATACAAGTAATTCTATCATTTTACACATATTGGCATGCCTTTTTTCTCCTATAGATACAAAAATCTAGTGTTTTGTTAAATAATTATTTCATGAAAAATAAACAAATGAATGAACCCATTAAATCCTTTAGGGGACATTTGTCCAGTACCCCCCATTTCTTTGGAAAATCACACCCCCTCCAATTTCTGCTCCTGTGGTTTAAAGCAACACCCACCCCCAGCTCTACCTTTTGGGGTAATCTTTGTTTTTTGATCAGCACATTATATTCACATTGCCAACAAAATCTAATTGGTCAGGGTTGGGCCTATGAGAGCCAGTGAGCTACAATTAGATTTCTGTGGCAGCATCTGGTAGGGTAATTCTTGCTCTTTCCTGTAGAATGAGGGTGAAAGGAGGAGCTATGTTGCCATCGTTTGAGATGAAGGGAGAGTCTGTTTGAGAATGGGGCCAGTAGAGCAAGAGAAAGGCTAAGGCAGAGAACTAAAGGAGAATGAGTCCTAAATCCAGCCGTCCCTGCAGTTACTTTACCTGTGGATCTGTCCATGGTAGGAACCATTAAGGGTTGGGTTTTGTTATCTGCAATCACAAAGTCCCAACTATTATCATCGCCCATTGTCTTGCAGTGATCATGGCTGACTCCCCTGCTCAGAATCCCTTTTCCCCTCTCTGCAGGTACCTCACAGCTATCATCCTTCTCCTGTTCAGCCCCGGTTCAGGGGAAGCTGAGCCTACTGATCAGGAACACAGGCCTAAGCCAACCAGGACAAGGCATTTCTTCATCAGAGGGGCTGGCTCAGGAATGGGCATGTGACCCATTAGAATAAGCACCAACAGAATTTGAGCTAACAGAAAAGCAGGATAAAAAAGCTGTGACTTTGGGGAAACATATTTTCTCACTCTTAAATTAATGCCACCAAAAGCAGTGGTGTTTCTCTTCCTTTGTACATTGATACGTGCAGACATGAAGCCTGAATCTGCTACGGCTCCACTGTTTCCACCCAAAGCCGGACCCTGGGAGCCATGCATGACTGTAGGGCCCACCTGGGCCCTTTCAGGTACCTGAGACAAAACCATGCCTCACAATTTAAGTCAATCAGATTTTCTGTTACTTGCAACCAAAGTTTCCAACACACATGAAGTATTAAAATGTAAAGTTTTAAATCTATGTAGCAACTACATCCTATGAAATAACTTGATATAAAATAAAAATTCTTAACCTAAAATTTAAAATATACCTTTAAATTCTGTGATCTAAAAATCCTGAGAGATGTACTGAATTTATACTATAAACTTGAATGTAAATAATCTTATTTGCCCCTCTGCTCTAATGACATAAAATATTAACTTTTCACTTTTTTATTTCAAATAACAGAATATTTTTCCCTAACGTTTTGAGTTTCAAAGTGATCAAAAGATACTCCCCAAGAATCCTGGTATATATAAGCCCTAAAATAAAATATTATAGGGGAGTTTTCCCCCCCTCAATTTGCTAAAAAACTTTCACTCAGCTTTTCTTCCAACATTTGTAAGCCTTTGATATCCATTCTCACAAATAATCAACACACTATGAACAGAAAAAGCTGATTATACTCGTACTTGTGGTTTGCTATCATATACCTATAGTATGGTTAGTACAATATATGTACTTTTTTAAAAAATAGCCACCCTTCATTGAGCAAATGCTTTGCACCAGGCTCCATTAATAATGGACTCTAGAAAACGAGAGACCTCCATGACTTCCCCAGGACTGCTACATCTAAAAGCCTAGACAACTGTAACTGAACAACAATAAAAACAAAACAAAGCAAAACAAAGCCTTGGCAGACATTCCCTGCATCTTCTTTCCAGACAATGAAGAGGATGAAAGACTAACACTAGCCATTTGGACATCACGGCTCAGGGACCTCAGGGTTTCTGCAAGACAAAACTCAACCCGGGAACAGGCAAGGAGTTTCTAAACACACAGGAGAAATGAGGCCTCCCTCAACTAGCTTTCAAGTAGAAAACATGAGTGCAGTCACATTTATTAACCATTCTGCACAAAGCCATGAGGTAGGTACTATGGCGACACAAATACACTAATAACTGTGATTAAGGCAGAAGGAAGTACCTGCTAGTTATTTATGTAGGAGGGTGTCGTTTATTTCAAACAATCAGTCTTACTGGTATAGTAGAGAACCATTTGCTACTTAATTCTTCTTATTGTTAATATAATGCTAACTTAAATTTTATAGAGGCTACTACAATCTCACACAGTCAGCATGTGCTAAGTATTTTATATGCATATGTCCATTTACTCCTGAGAACACCACCATGAGACAGTTACTCCTGTTAACCTCCTTCACACACATGAGGACACTGGAGGTGTGAAGGAAGTTCTTAAGGTTCTGTAGTTGAAACGAGGGAAAACAGGGTCTTAATCCCAGGTTTGACACTTAAATTCATGCTCTTATTCTACTGCTTTACTGTCACAAAACACATGGCTCGAAATAGTAACGCCCAGAAGAAATGAGTGCAGGACTCCCCCACCTGGGATGCCCGGCTGGTGGTGTCTGCAGGAACCCCCGACTTGGGCCGGGGGCCTCTCTGCTGCAGGCCGCCACGCTCGCAACTGCGCAGAAGCAGGCACAGAGGGTATGGGTGACAGCTTCTCCCGCCAGCGTGGTCCATCCAGATCCATTAAAATTCTTGTTATTCTGAAAAGAAGAGGCATTTTCTCCCTTAATCACGCAATCTGCATTTAATGTTACCAAAGGTCCTATCAAGAGTTAAGATGTATGTGACAAATGCTGCACGTTTGTGTGCTCCCCTGTAGAAAACACGCAATCTTGAGCTATTTGCTGTCCACATAAACTGTCTTTGAAAGGAATTTTATAAAAAACTATGCAATTTTAGATCCTTTTTATATCAAAAGAAAAAAATTGACATTTCTAATTAGTTTAAATTTTTAAAAATGTATATGCTATAAAATATTATTTTTTGAAAAGGTAAAATATAAAAAGAAAATTGAGGCCTAGAGGAAATGTCCCAGATAACACTGAATGTAATTACTAATTTGATAATGCATTATTCCTGAGAATACCCAGAAGCCCTGGAGGATTTATATGCCCAAACTATACATAAAGACAGGTGTAAGAGTCTGGGCTAAAACTGGCCGTCACATGGAATGCTGCTTTTCCCTAAAACATTTAAATGTGATTAAGATACTCTTGTATTTTTTTATCTCCATAATTATCCACTAATTTTGTTTTCATATGCATAGAGAAGAAAGAATAGGTTACTGGAGTCTACTATGATGGCTCTTGTATTAATGACATTATAAAATTCAGATTAACATCCCCAATTATTCCTTTCTCACCATTTTAAACATACAAGACACTATACTTATATTTAAAACAAAACAGAATTATGCGTTTGGAACAAATCTGGCTTTAAAAAGGTGCTCCTCAAGACTGAAGGGTTACTGGTAACTGGTAGAATACACTCAAGTTAGTTAACTCAGTAATACTTCCACTGTGAAAGATTTTTGTATTTATGTAGAGACAAATATAATACACATAATTTCCATACAGTTTTATTAACTGAAATTTCAACAGTGGTCTTTGGTTATATGTTAGCATAAAAAAATAAATTAGAAAATAATGTAAAACCACCCACAACTGCAAAAGAAAAAGAAGCTTTAGAAAAAAGGAATTTTCAAGCAAACTTGTATTACCAGCAGAGAGGAAGGAAGAAGCAGCTGAAAAGAGATGATGTGTTGCCAGGGAGTAAGTAAGTATATGCAGGGAAATTTAACATAAGATTCCTGGAGAGGAAGAGAGGAACATGATTAATGGGAGACAGAAACAAAATAAGCACAGGTGTTTAAATTTTTTTTTAAAATTGCTGTTGCTTAGATGGAAAAGCAAGCACAGATATGGGATTCATGAAAGGGAGCAGTGAAATTTTTAAACTGGATATTTTACAGAAAAATATATATGGCAATACTAGACAATACCTTCTCATCTTATATAACTATACATCAACAAGAACCATTCAATTAAAAAAAATGAATGAGGCCTTTTTAAGAAAAAATTGACTTGAGAGAGAGAGGAAGGGGGAGAGAGAGAGAGAGAAATGCCAATTTGTTGCAACACTTATTTATACATTCATTGGTTGATTCTTGTATGTGACTGGGGATTGAACCCACAACCTTGGCGTATGGGGACGACTCTCTACCCAACTGAGCTACCCAACTAGGGCTAAGGTTCTTGTATCCAACCAGTAATTTTCAAACTTCATCTGAAAGCAATTTGTAAAGTCTGGAAATCCTTACCTCCCTATTCTCACTCAAGAGGTAAATAGTTCATAATATAAATTAGATCCAATTTTGTTGTTATTTCACCATGATATTAAATTGATACTCATCCTAGATGAGTATCTATTTAAAGGGTTTATAACACAAATACCTAGCAGGCTTATGAAGATATTCATTCTCCTGAGGGGAAGCAACATATATATTTGCACTGACAGATGTGGTGCCAATGAACATCTGCAAATCCTGCAGAAGATTCAACATGGAAGTTTTCTCTACATTTATTGATCTTGTCTATAATTAGTACTAAGTTATGACGTCACTGAAAACACCTTCCTAACTGTACAGATATTTACAATTACTAGAATTGAATTGTGCTTTTTGAGCTATACCCTGTGCTTAAAAAAAAAAAAAAAGAAGAGAGTATTCACTGAACAGGAAATAAATATTAAGGTATTAGAGGACAACTCAGAATGTATCATGGAGCACTTAGAAATTAAATTGAGGCCCTGGCTGGCGTAGCTCAGTGGATTGAGCTCGGGCTGAGAACCAAAGCATCACAGGTTCAATTCCCAGTCAGGGCACATGCCTGGGTTGCAGGCCACGGCCCCCAGCAACCGCACACTGATGTTTCTCTCTCTCTCTCTCTCCCTCCCTTCCCTGTCTAAAAATAAAATAAATAAAATCTTAAAAAAACAAACAAACAAAAACAGAGTGTACACTGGACACTCTGCAAAAAAAATAAAAAAGAAATTAAATTGAAGGGCGACAGGTGCACAGTGCAGTGTGCAGATGATGTCTGTTGAGTTGTACACTTGAAGCCTGCATGGCTTTATAAACCAATGTCACCCCAATAAATTCAATTAAGTTTTTTTCCACATCAGCAAAGAGAGTGAGAGAGAGAGAAGAAAACAAATTAAATTAGGGAGAGAGAACCACTTGATTTGGATGGAGTGAAAGAAGGCAGTCATGTAAAATAAATAACTGAGAACGCCCACACACTCTGACATCGTTCTTAAAGAAGGGCAAGAAGAAAACCTAATTCCATGATAAAACACCTTGACCTCAGAGGTAGCTGCCTCAGATCAGGTTACCTGTTAATACTGTCATTTGCTATCTGGATTCCGCAGTCTATTTGCAACACTGTTTTATAATCCACATAAGCTTTCTGATACTGCTCTAAAGTTTCATATGCCATTGCTCGTCGAAGAAGAGGTTTAACTGAGAATGGATGAAGTTCCAGAGCCCTAAAGAAGACAAAAATGTCACATGTCATTTGTTTTGAAAATTACTCTTTAACTTACACTAACTCAACGCATACCATAGTACTGGACTCAAACACATACTTACCTGGTATTTCATCTTGGGGACCTGGCAACACACCAGAGATGTAAAATAAACCCTGAGTAGCAGAGCAATCACCAACCTACTTAGGCATTTACTTATTCTTTCCCCCACTGAGACTGAGTTCCCTGGCAGCAGGCAGTGTGCCTCATCCCCCTATACCCTCCCCCCATCCTACTCCCCTCTCCCCAATATGCCCTCCCTCACCCCTCCCCCACACTCTAATAGAGCCCACCATGGCACTAGGCACAGAGCAGGCTTTCAACAGATTCTTGTTATTGAGGGATTAAACGGGAAATTTTTATTTGTACCTATGTATTTAATAAGGCACCTTAGCACAGAACCACATAAACCTGCATCGCTGTTTGAAAAGCAGCTCTCTAAAACTCAGTGCAATTTATTACGGTCCACCTGCTGCCAAAGGGCTTCAAAAATAGACCAGATGTAATCAAGGAAGCATACAATGATTTCTTTAAGTCATTAATTTTCATCTTGCACTTGCCTATGAAGTATTTTTAATATCACTAGAGATGTATTTCAAGGTTATGTTCCCTGGTTTTGTTTGAAGTAATTGTTTAAAGCTACTTACTTCACTACTTTGTACTTCATTAAATTCTGAAATAAAAAATACAATCGAGATTGCATTTGTGAGTGAAAAGTACTGTACTTCATTTTAATAAAATTAGCTGAAACTGTAAAGAAGTGCTCCGTGCAGAGATGCTATGAAGAGCTGACTTTCTATATAATGCACTAATGGGTATGTGCCAGGCAGTCCACATTGAAGACTGCAGGTTCGCTCTTCTGGTTAACTCTTAAGCTGCAAGCAAATATATATCAGACAGTGGACTTGCTTCAGGGGAAGAATGGGCAAGGGCTGCTTTACTTTTTTTTTCCCAGTAGTCTTAGAGGTCTACTGTCTAGCCCTGTCTACAGTGATCTGGCAAGGCGGGAGCTCTGATGGAACATCTGCTACAAGCTCGTCACTGTAGACTTTCTCCTCTAATCTCACAACAAGCCAGCAAGGTAAATATTCACATGTTCATTTTGCACATCAGTTCTTTTGAATTTAAGCTCCGTTAAGGCAAGGGAATTCCCATTGCCTAGATCAACACCAGGACCACAAGATGCCCTCCTCAGAGCCTACACTCTTTCTACCACAAACGTATGAAACACTACAAATAGAGGAACTCAAAGTCATCTGCCACTCAGACTCGCTGCTCCACAGTGCAGATGCTCAGCTGCGCATGTGGGTGTGCCCCTCGACTTTGGACCACAGAGGGTGTTCTAGAAATGGCATTAGCTTCACTGCTCTGAAAAATAACCAATCTTGCTCTGCCTTGGAGTTAGCACTGGGAGGGGGAGTTTTGTAACGCCCTTTTTGTTGTCCTGGGTTTCAAATTTTTCTCTGTAATAGGTATGTGTTACTTTTATAACCTGTAAAAATCATTTAAACTAAAATTAAAATCAAGTAGAAACACTTAAACACTAGAAAACAGACCTCTGGGCACCAGTGTCTATCACCTGTACCACTGCCTCAAATCTAGCTTAGTTTAATGCTTGGGGGCTAAGTAACGACAGGAACAGCCACATGACTACTCCCATTCACCAGACTTCCCAAATCGAAGGCACCATTTATCCACCCAAGATAAACCTGAGGTAGGCTTGGCATCTAAAATTGAGTAAGATGATGTTAATTTTTAGCACTCCCAGCCTAGTAAATTCAAGGATTTTTTCTCTTTAACCACAATCCTGAAAATAAATATAAGCTTATTAATGGACATTCCACAAAGAAAAAAAAAGCATCCATTCATGAAAATAAACACAGAGAACTTTTAAACCAGAGCTTATACGAAAGCTTAACTATTCAAGTTCACACAGCTAAGACTCTAAAGAGTCATCTAATTTCAGGTCTGCCAGAGAACAGCAAAGGTGAGCAAAAGCACAGAATTACTAGACACCATTCATCTGTACTGAGTCCATCAAAATATCCTCAATGCAAAGTCACTGAAAGATTTTTGGTGTGCTTTAGATAACCCCAAAAGTTTCCCTGATCGATGGGGAAGTGAAAGTTAAAAGAACAACAACCTGAAAAACAATTATGGGAATAAAAGTAATTTCCAGAATGAAAGTTTTAAACTTTTGCTTAGGCATCACAATCCCGTTTCTTGGCTTCCCTGCAAGCCTGTAAGAGGAGCACGGAGGTGTGGCAAGGAGAGGGCCAGGGCCCAGTGCCCCTCCACTGCTCCAACGTGCCTCATGCTCCCAACAGTGATTCTCTACAGATGCCCCCAGAAACATCTCTGAGGAAGTGCTTGGGTGCAGGCCCCGGAAGTTTAGACATTTAAAACCAGGTAGTTTTTTACCCCAAATGCATGCAAAGTTCTTTTTAAGGGGAAATCCATTAGAGTTAATTCATAGGTCTCCCTCTCCCCTTTATTTAGATTCTGTCCCCATGGGTTTTTCTTTTTCTGTGTTTGACTCCTGCTACCACTTGCCTCATGGAACATAAAACAACTCTCCAAGGGGCAAAGATAATTAACTGAAAAACTGAAAAACTGGCTTCCTTTAAAATGTATGCAATCTTTCTAAAGTGAAAGTAGTCATATATTTCTGCTAGGAAATGATTCCCGGATCATACAAATTTAAATACATCCATTTTCCAACCTGTTTGCCATAGCAAATCACGGTTTCTCTGGCATTACGATGAGTCTGCGAACCAGTGCTCTGGAGTAAAATCCCTCCACGCCCCTCGTGCTGGCACTCACATGCCAGGTATCAGAGAAAACATCGAAGGAAGCCGGTCTCTGCGGGGGTCAGTGCTGACCAACAGAGCGGGATTCCCTGGACGCTTTCCCTAAGCACCACCCACCTCCTGCCCCAGCCGGCCCTCTCTCCCTCCAGACAAACCTCCATTCTAGCCTCCCGGGACACCTTGGCTAGCGTCCCATCTCTGACCTCCCCCTGGGTCTACAAGGAAACACAAATGTTAACAGGAACTGCCTGCCCCCTTAAACAATCTCACTTAAGGACAAAGTGAGTCCACCATTTTAGCCCTGTCTGTAAGGGTCCCAGGTTTTAAACCAAGAGTCCTAAATTCGCTCAATGTAGGAATGCCTAAGGCAAGTCTGAAGGGTAATGTATTAGTAACAGACACCTAAGGGGAAAGTTCTGAAGGAAAACAAAGTTTGCCACCCCCAAAATTGTGCCTCTTGCGATACTGATGTTTAAACTGGTTATTAAGAAGTGAAAGTGTCAGAAAAAAACATTTGACCCTGTGCATGTGTTAAAATTTGATTTGCTCCTGTTATCTGCCTCTGTTAACTTGATTATTAGCCCAGCTAGAACTCAGAAGGTAAAAGGAATTTTTTTTAAGTCCTCTCACAGTTCTTGGCTGCAAATCCCAATATTCTGCAAATTAACATGGTCTTTTTGGTTAGTTATGGGTAGTGGAAAATGTTTAACATCCAGCTCTCCCAGGGAAAAAAAGAAGCCAAGATTTATTGCATTTGCTGATTTTCATGGTATTAGTACTCTAACCATGGCAGACTTCAAGCTACCCACTTGACTTCATTCGACCAGCTCACAGAATCCTGAAAATGTAATAATAATTAGCTAGCGTGAGCTACTACAACAATGGATAGGGTCTAAAGTCAGGCCAGAGTGAATATAAATATTATTTATTTGTAATTTGAATATGCAAATTTGGCAAAAATCCAAGTACCTCAAGACCTTCTTTTTAAACTGTAGACACAGAAACTAACGAGCCTGAAACTGCTACTACCAATGAAAAAAATAGTTCACCTTATCATCAGGGTGTCCACATAAGAGAGTGTCCAAGCTAGGGCTTCTGAGAGTAAAAGGGGTGATATTAATAATTATACCAGACAAAAGGAGTAAGCCAGAGCTGTTAAGGCCAAACCAGGACATATAACTTTTTTTAAAGATTTTATTTATTTATTTTTTGGAGAGAGGGGAAGGGATGGAGAAAGAGAGGGGGAGAAACATGGACTGGCTGCCTCTCCCACACAACACGACGGGGGACCAGGCCCGCAGCCCAGGCGTGTGCCCTAACTGGGAATCACCTGACATCCTTTCACTTTGCCTGATGATGCCCAGCCAACTGAATCGTGCACCAGTCAGGGCATGATTTTTTTTTTTTTTAGATTCACTAGTAGTAGCTTCTTACCAAAGGACTCCTGAGGAAGGCTTATCACTTATTTGTAAAAAAACACTTTTTATTCATGTAAATAGGTTCCTTTATCTCAGCAGGCAGAGCACCATGGGTGACGACTGTGCTTGAGGGTTGCAAAGCTGAACAGAACATGGGTCCTGACCTCACAGAGCTTACAATGCCATGCAGTGAATGACACAAGAACCTACAGGTGAGAGAGTGACAGTGCAGGTGCTACAGACATGAAGATGACCAGGGAGGCTGAGGGCGACCAGGCAGGCAGAGAGCAGGGGGCTGCTAAGCAGGATTTGTGGACAAAAACGGGGCTACCTACTAAACTGACAAACTCAGAGACCTAAAGTAACCACAAAGAATGGTGTGACATTAAAACTTTGTAACTAAAAGCAGTTCCAGTCTGGGATAGTGGTCCTAGAGTGGTATTTCTCCCTAACAAAGGTGGATCCTTACCTTAACTGAGCCTGTCTATAGTCTTTTTGCATCTACATTAACACACCTTCATAATGTCAGGCTAACCCTTTTTTTTTTCCAGACCTGTCAGGGCACAATCTCCCACCACAGCAGAGACCACAGATCCCTCATTGTTGTTCTGATTGTGTTAATTGTGAACTGTTAAGTATCCTACACCTGCCTATATAAAAGAAGTTTGTTTATTCTTTTTATCTAATCCTAGAGATGTCCTTGCTTTGCTTTCTCCCTAATCTATCATCAGTGAATTTCATGTAACCACCTTATGTCTTCCCCTTTGATTCTGATGTAAAAAAAAGGTGGTAAAATTGCCATTTTCCAGAGCATTTTCTCAATCCCTTGAGATTTTGCTTCCCGGCAACTGTCGTCAGTTTGGCTCAAAACACCATAAAAATTCTTCCAGTTCTGGACGTTTCTTACGTTGACAGATTTCAGAAGCAAAGGTGTGCAGAGCACATTACAGACAGTGGACCAAATGGGGGCAGAGAGCTTGTTTTGGGGCAATATGGTGACAGAGGAGTTTGTAACTATCTGGAAGACCATACTGAGCTAGTGGACACCTGTTTGAAACAGTCTGAACAAAACAGTGTTTCAGGAAAAGTTATTCTGATGCCACAGTGGACTGGAGAAGGCAGAGAGAGTAGTGAGATGTCTTCTCCAGTGGTCTAGGACTGACATAAAATGAGCATGAATTAAGGTGGTAACAGTGGAAATGAAAAAAAGTTTGCACAATCTGCTATAACTGTCTTCATATATATATGCAAGAGAAGAATTTATGAGTTTATGCATTAATCAATTAACATACCTTAAAACTTTAGAAATTAGAATCATGCAAAAAACTTAGAAAAACAGTCAAGACTACATTCACCACCTTGAAATGGTAATCATCTCTAGACAAACCTGAAAATCAGCAGTTTACCTGTTACAGTCTTGAATGCAGCCACTGCAGTTTCCTTCCTTTAGGTAACATGCTGCTCTATTTGAATATAAGATACTTAGATCATCTGCACTTCCACTTCCTAAAAGCACATTTAATTAAATACAGTTAAAATCCATTAGCGAAATCAGGTTCCCCGGAATTCCAAGACTGCGGTCTCCAGTGGCAGGGACTGCAGTCCTACGGGCTGCTGACAATGCAGCGCTCCGAGGAGCAGCGAACGCCCGCAGTGGCCACAGGGGGCAAGCCCGTAAAGGGAAGGACTTGCCTGGCCCAGACACACAGTACGCATTCCAAGGTACAGACTGAGCTTGTAGGTCTTGTCCCGCGCTGCCCTAGGCCACCAGGAAGGAATGTACTGACACACGCGCCTGTCATTCAAGAGGTGGCCCGCGCCTCTCCGGCGTGGCCCCTGCGGGTCCCGCCAAGTTCAGCAAGAGGGCTCCGGGTAGCCCGCGGAGCGCAAGTCACCTACCTGCTGGCTCCAGCTGCGCTATCGCCGCCGAGTACTTGCGCGCCGCCTCGGCGAACTGTCCGGTTTTGAACAGCTCGTTGCCCTGACACTTCAGGCCGGATGGGCCGCCCGGGGAGGCGGGGGCGGGAGGCGACGCGCAGGGCCCAGGGGACGCGTCGGCCCGGACCGGTCCCCGGGAGCCCCTGCCGCCGCCCGGGTGCCCATTGGCGCCGGCCGCGGTCGCCGGGGCCCGCGGGCGGCCCCGCTTGTCCGAGCCGGCCCCTAGCGTGCGACTCCGCCGCGGCGCGCCCTTCTCCGGCCGCTTGCCGGCCTCGCTTTTGCCCGTCAGCTTCTTCTGGATGTTGCCCATGGCGCGCGGCTCTGGGGCAAGCGCGGCTCCCGCCGGCTCCGCAGTCTCTGTGGGAAGTGGATGCGGGAAGTGAGTGTTTGCATCATCAGGAGAAACTACCGCGGCAGCAGCGGGGGTGCTCGGCGCGGAGGCGCGGCGCCGGAGCGCGCTGGGCGGGTCGCGGGGGAAGCCGCGCGGGCGCCGCCCTCTCGGTCTGAATTTCGCGGCTCCGGCACCTTCGGGGCTCATCCGCTCCGATGGTTAGCCCCGGGGCCGCGTGCGCGGATCCCCTGCGGCTTCCCGGGCTGTGGACGGAAGCCAACCCCGTATTTAACTCGTTAAATCCTGAAGGGCTTGTGACTTGATAACCAGCATTTCAAAATCATTCCCTTCATCACAGCCAAAAGGCAAAGACAGATCTTACAAAGTACGTACTTTTCTTCCATTTACAATTTACGAAAGAATGAGTAGTTACCAAAACTTGAAAACAAAAATCGCACCCAAGTTTAGGGTACCCTTTCCTTACGTTAAAAGACTAGGAGAAAAAGATCACTTGACAGAAAAATAAAGGTCAAGTGACTTTAAGTCATTTTAAACTGAATTTAGCAAAGAAGTCATAAAATAAGCACCTGGTTTTAAAAGTGAGTCTTTAAAAGACTTAAGTTTTCCATTACAATGCCTTATTCAGACTGTCAGGTACAAATCATAGCCTTAATTGATTATTGAATCTACTGTTTTTAAATATAAAATGATGTATAAATATTTCATTGATGGGTATCTTATCAATATTTTATAGAAGGCAATTTATCATTTTGTTAAAGAAAAAAAAACAACACAGGCCTAATGTCACTTGTGCTAAAAGCTCACCAAACCTAGATTTAATACCTGATCCAACTGCAGTTTCAAACTGTCCCAGAAACACAATCTTGATCAACCAGTATGAACTGTTTTGGTCAAGCACCAGTATGGTAATCTGTCAGTGGGTCCTCTCCACCAACTCCTCTGCAAAGAAGAGTCAATCTGCATAAAAACTCTTCCCTAATTTTCCTTCCCCACAAAGAAAATATGTCCTGGCCCCAAAATAACCCTTCCTTTTCTTTAGCCAAGAGCACCCTTGCCCCACCCAGCTTCCTGTAAAAAACCTTCCATATTGTATAACTCCTAGGAGCATCCTTCTGGTTGCTAGACGGGATGCTGCCCAATTGAAGAATTGCTTAATTAAAGCCAATTAGATCTTCAAATTTTCTTGGATAAATTATGTTTAATTTTTGAAGCAACCTCAAACCACTGTTAAAAAAGCACTTAAATACACAGACCTCCAGGCTTTTTCTTTTAACAAATACTGATCTGAGTTTTGATGGACATATTTGGATATATTTTCCATTATGTTTCATGAGTGGTGGAGCCATGATTTGAAGCATAAAGACAGAGGCCATGGAAAACCACAAGTGTTTAAATAAAAATCAGTGGATGGTCGCCTTAAAGCCAGCACTGATTTTAAAAAACACATTAATAAATATCGTTTCCTCTACAGTGGAATAATGTCCACTTTTGAATCACTAACCAAAATGAGGTTAAATATGAAGACAATAAAAAGACCTTATAATAGTAATAAATACCCAGATTGGATCCAGTAGGATTGTTAGAGCAAGGCTCCAGTCTTCATCTGGCATCTGCTACTCAAGTTCCCACCCAGAACAGAATCGGATGGAAGCATACGTCAGTGTCCGCAGAAACAACAGACAACTTACTATTATTGTGCATCCCCTTGTATGTTATCCTCTCATGTTTGATTGATAGTATTACTAAATAGCTACAGTTTATCTAGAACTTCATGTGAGTCCAGACCTTCGTGTACATTACCATTAACCTTCATACCAAGTAGTACTTCATCACCACTTTACAAATGAAGCAACAGAGACACAAGGAAGTAGCTAAGGAATTTCCTCAAGCACACAGAGCTTGAAATCCCAGCATAACTGGGATTCAAATGAATGAACTGAATGCATAGCCATATCTCTTTCCTTAAGGTGGAAATGTCCCTGAACAACTTTGCCAGTCTCCGTAAAGGTAAACAGAGGCCACAACATGAAATCCTGTGAGTCATGTTAGGTATTGTGCTACCTGTAGGACAATCCAGAGAAGTCAGTCAGGAGGTGGCTCCAAATGTAGATCAGAGGAGTGGCCTTATCTAGAGACACGGACTTGGGAGGTGCTGGCAGATAAAGAATCACTGAAGTTTGGATGTAGACTGGATCACTCATATCTTCCAAAGGATCCCTGAGAAATACTAATTCTTAAAGGATGCACAAGGACTAAAGAGAACCATTAGATCTAAAGGCCACAACGACTTCAGTAGCCCTGAAGGATAGTTTGGGTAGTTGGTCGATGCAAAAGTCCTCAACAAAATACAAGCAAACCAAATCCAATAGCATATTAAAAGGATTAGACACCATGACCAAGTGGAATATATCTCAGGAATGGAAAAGTGGGTCAACAGTAGAAAATCTATGCAACATACCACATTAATAGAACAAGGGGGAAAATCACGTGATCATAATTGAACTGAAAAGGCATTTGACAAAATCCAACACCGTTCCGTGATAAAATCACTCAGAAAACTAGGAAGAGAAGTGAAATTTCTCAATATAAAGTACATTTATGAAAAACTCACTGCTAACATCATACTCAGTGGTGAAGTCCTGAAAACTTTCCCCTGAACCACAGCTACTCAACATTATGGTGGCAGTTATAACCTGATCAATAACCTGGCAAGAAAGAGAAATAAAAGGCATCCATATGGGGAAGGGAGAAATAAAATTATCTCTCTTCATAGATGATATAACTATAGATAGATTCTTTAGGATTACATATATATTATGTACAATAATATAATGATTTAACATGATTAAATATTATCTCTATTGCAAATTATAATTTATAATTATATACTTATACATTTAATTATAATTATACACTACATAAAATATAATTATAATTTTTATTATTATTATATATTATATATGTGTATATATGTATTCCCAAAGAATACACACACACATACTACTAAAGCTAATAAGCAAATTCAGCAATGTTACAGGGTACAAGAGCAACATACAAAAATCAGTCATTTCTACACACTGTTAATGAATGATCTAAAAAGAAATTAGAATAATAATTCCATTTACAATAGCATCCAAAGGAATAAAATACTCAGGAATAAATTTAACAAGAAGGTGAAGGACTTGTACATTGAAAACTACAAAACATTGCCGAAAGAAATTAAATAAGTGGAAAGATATTTCTTGATCATAGATAGGAAGACTTTATGTTGTTAAGATATCAATACTACCCAAAGTGATCTACAGGTTCAATATAATCCCTATCAAAATTCCATAGACTTTTTGCAGAAATAGAAAAACCGATCTTCAAATTCATCTGGAATTCCAAAATAGCCAAACAATCTTGAAAAAGAAGAACAAAAATCAAAGGACTCACACTTCTGATTCCAAAACTTACTAAAAACTACAGTAATCAAAACAGATTGGTACCAGCATTGGGATAGATATGTAGACCAATACAATAGAATTTTGAAGAGTCCAGTAATAAATTCATACATTTATGGCCAATTGATTTTTTAATCCTCACCCAAGGATATGTGTATTAATTTAAAGAGAAAGGAAGGAAGAGAGAAAGAGAAATACCAATGTGAAAGAGGAACATTGATTGGTAGGCTTCCGTATGCATCCCAACCAGGGATCAAACCCACAACCTAGGTATGTGCTCTCATGAGGGATGGGATCTGCAACTGTTTTATTGTAAGGGATGATGCTGCAGAGCCACCAGGCCAGAGCTGGCCCATTGATTGAAAAAAAAATTTATACTGATTTTAGAGTGGGGAAGGGAGAGAGAAAGAGAAATACTGATTCGCTACTGCACTTATCTATGCATTCATTGGTTGATTCTTGCATGTGCCCTGACTGGGGATCAAACCGCAACATTGGCACATCAGAATGATGCTCTAACCAACGAGATGCCCGGCCAGGGCTAGCCCATTGATTTATGACAAAGGTGTCAAGTCCATTCAATAAGGAAAGAATAGTCTCTTTAACAAATGATGTTGGGACAACTGGATTTACACATGCTAGAACAAACAAACAAGCAAACAAACAAACAAGTAGGACTCCTACCACGATTAATCAAAATATATCAATGGTCTAAATACTAGCTAAATCATAAAACTCTTAGGAAAAAACAGAAGTAAATCTGCATGACTTTATCTTTGACAGTGAATTTTATATATGATACCAAAGGCTCAAGTACAAAAGAAAAATAGATAAATTTGACTTCAGCAACATTTAAAACTTTTGTGCATCAAAGGATATAATCAAGAAAGTAAAAAAGACAACTCACATTTAGAAGAAATTATATGTAAATTGCATATTTGATAAGGGTCTAGTATCCAGAATATGTAAAGAACACTTACAATACAACAATAAAAAGGCAAATAACCTAATTATAAAGTGGGCAAAGGACTTGAATAAACATTTCTCGAAAAAAAAATGGCTAAAAACACTTCAAAAGACAGTCAACACAATAAGAGAAATACACATCAAAACCATAAGGAGTTACTATCTTTTACCCACTAGGATGTAATAAAAAAGGCAAACCATAACAAGTGTTTGCAAGAATGTGGAGAAATTGGAATCCTCAGATATCACTGGTGGGAATACAAAATGCTGTAGCTACTTTGGGAACCTGTCTGGAAATTAAACATAGAGTTACAACATAACCCGGCATTCCATTCCTACATATATACCCAAGAAAAATAAAAACATGTTCACACACATATACCTGTAATACTATACCTTGTTCCAGTTAAGACTTTAAATAATGTCCTTTAATTGTAAGGCACTTGGCTAATTATCTTAAGCTAAATATAAACCTCAAGAACATTTGCTGCAAGAACTTAAAATCTGGTTGAAAAACTTTTTATCTTAATTTCTTCCTTTTTTATCCTTTTGATGCTTTTCCTTTCACATCTCTCTCTCCTGTTCTTATTCTGTGTCCTCCTCTTTTTCCCTCCCTCCTATTCTGTCCCTTTGTCTTTATGCTACCTTAACTGATCATATTTTGACTTGAGGCATACATTTTATATTGTACTTTCTATCATTAAAAACTTAAAACGTTTACTTCTTGTACTTTATTTTTTAAGTGGAATGAATGGAACATTTTGTATTTCTCTTTCTAAATTAAAATACTTAATTATTTTACTTCTGTCAAATTGCTTAAAGTTGATTTTACCTATGAATGATTTTCAAAATTAATATTTGATATTTCCTTTGGTTGATCTTGGGCTTTCAAGAATGCAGAAAACATCCTCCCCACCCCCCCACCACAGTCAAATGAGTAGGCAGATCTTCCCCCTGAAAGCTGGTGTAACCTTCATTGTTTTCTATTATAAAAATTAAGCTTTATCTAATCTAGAACCTTTAAAAAATTATATCAAAAGTGAACTTGCATTAAAGAAATTTTTTGAGAGACATACATGGTAATTTTTTAACAATGCATTCATTTTAGGCAAAGTATACCTCTTTGAAGCCAACACATTTGTTTGCAGCCAATAGTTTATAGACAAAATAGTCATCTAAGAGAGATTCAAGGTTAACTTGCAAATGGTTGGTGTCATGGGCATTTGCATTTAAAGATGATAATGAGGAATTAAGTTGAGCATTAGAAAAAGGTGTCAGGTTAAGAAGAAAAATGGGTTTGGGAGATTGTATTATGAAAAAGATGAGCTGTGTTAACTAGACACATTGTGGTGATCATTTTGCAATATATACAAATATCAAATCATGATGTTATACATCTTAAACCAATATAATGTTATATGTCAATAAAAAAGGAAAAAGAAAAACATGAGCTATATTAAGAAAAATATTAAGGAAAAACTTTCTTGTGGATTTACAAGGTAAAGCTATAAAAAGTTTGATAGACTAACTCATCATATAAAAAGGTAATATTTTACATAACCAAAAAATAAAAAATGTTTTACTCTTATCTCCACTGCCATCTTCATGTCTTCTTTCACTGTCCTTTCCATTTTCATCCTCCGAGTTCTCCACTTCCTGAATCACCATCCTTTTCCCCTTGGTTTGAGTCTTAGATGCAGCTGCAGAGTTTTTCAGATCTCTTTCAACCTCTGACAAGGCTTTCTGCAACATAATCACCATATTAAATGTTTTCCTTTAATAAAAGATAAGATTATCCTTTCAGGTAAGACTATGAAGCTATTAAAAAGTGAATAATGATAACTAAAATAAGGCTTTTTATAATGGTCTGTTGTTTTTCTTTTTCAAACAACTTTGTTCCTTTGTTTGATTGTGATTTAAAAACTTAAAGTGTAACAAGTACGAAAAAGAAAAAATTATCTGAAATCCTGCCACTTACATAGCACTATTGATATTCTGATGATCATATATACAAAGTCTGCCTGGAAAAAGTCCAGCCATTGTTAATAAAATGAGAATAGTGTTGCATGGCATTGATGTAACCTGGGAACCAAGGAGAGTGGACTGGAATGCGCATACGTGAACAATGATGACTTCACTGTACTAGTCAGTGGGGGTGGTAGATGCCATTGAGAGCATGTGTACTGCATGGCTGTCACATTCAAAATGACTGAGCAAGTAGAGCAATGAATCTGCATTAAATTTTACATTAAGCTTGACTGTTCCTCCATGGAAACTATTCGGATGATTCAGAAGGCCGCAGCTATGGGCAACTGGTGATTGGAAGCATCATCACGATGCTCATGCATCATGTCTCCTGCCGAATTTTTTGGTGAAACATCAAATCACCCAGGTGACTCAGCCCCACTACAGCTCAGATTTAGTGCCCTGTGACTTCTGGCTTTTCCCCAAACTAAAATCACCTTTGAAAGGGAAGAGATTTCAGACCATCAATGAGATTCAGGAAAATATGATGGGGCAGCTATGGCGATTCCAACAAAGGATTTTGCAGAGTGTTTTGAACAGTGGAAGAGATACTGGGAGAAATGTGTGAGGTCCCAAGATGCCTACTTTGAAGGGGATTGAGGCATCATTGTCCTATATACAACATTTCTTTTATCTTCTTGAATAAATGTCTCTAATTTTTATAGTATATGGCTAAATACTTTCTGGATAGACCTTTTTATATAAAACATACCATTATAAAAAGACAATACTTTGGGGAAAGATGTGTTCCTAAGCTGGGCCCAAATCTAATCCATTGAAATGCTGACTTGACAAATGAAGCTGATACACCAGGGACTTTAGCTGCCACCCAGAGACAGATCACACAACAGGTGTACGTGGAAACAGTGAGACATTGTTGGAAGACAGTTCTCCATGGGTTTCTCATTTCTGAATATGTTGTGAACAGAGGAACTAAACAACCTTTGTTCTAGACCATCTTTTTAAATATGTTTTTACTGAGAACAGCCTTGGGAAATAGAATATTTGCTTTAGAGGAAAGCGAATTTGTTTGCTCTCTGGGGAAATAAAGATAATGTTTCCCTCTTACATTGGTTGGGCAGGTTTGGTTGTATTCCACGAAAGATGGGGTTTTGTAATTTGGGATTCCTCGGCTGTGACACACACCCACTGAGAGTGCAGCATCTATCTGGGCCATTCTGTGACATCCCCATGAGACATGGGAGCCAGGGGAACTGACATGAACTTGAAGCCCATTGGCTTGCTACGCTGTGACAAAATCCTTTGTGCCTGACCCAGGAGTCTTGTATATTCCTCTAGACCACCTGGTTACTTTGCAAGTAGGGTGAAATCTCAGACCCTCTACAGTTCTCAACACACATCTCTACTCTTTAGGCCGTACCACAGGTCTCCCCGAGTGCACACCCAAGTCAGTCTGCTCTCAGTGATACACGGTCACCATGTTAATAACAGACAGAAACACTCTTACGGCCATCACGCTCACGTCTAATCCCACCTAATACCTAGGAAATGTATACACTGCTCTGCATAATAAGTTGAAATTAGTTCAAAGGAAATCATGGCCTACAACACTGCAGGAAAGAAAAAAAAATAAGTATTGATTCTTCAGAAGTAGGTTTACAATTTTGAGCAATTTAGGCGCTTGCTTTCTTCCACTTCAAATAGATGTTAACACCCTGGGATGTCTGGGATGTACCTACGTTTTACAGCTGTAACCTAATCTTCAACATGATGTATCCAACAAAATTGATATCACTTTAACATAAATACAGAAACAGCATAGACTTTGGTGAGGAATCACTTTCTGCACTTACTTTGGCCAACTCATTATCAGGCTCAATATCCAGTACTTTACTCAAATCTTCTACTGCTTCTGGGAGTTTGTTTTGATGTTTATATGTAGTGGCACGGCGCAGAAGAGCTGGAAATTTACCAAAATACAAGTTACACTTTTGGAGGAGAACCTTGCGCAGCCCTGAGGGGGAGAACCATGCAGCTGTGGAAGTGCAGAGAAGACCACGTCCCTGACGGAGAGAACCATGCAGCCTTGACAGAGTGGAGACTCCCGCAGCCCTGAGAGGGAGAACCACGCGGCTCTGGCAGAGCGGGGAATCCCGTGGCCCTGGGAGAGAGGACCATGTGCCTTTGCCAGAGTGGGGACCCCCGCAGCTTTAGAAGGGGGAACCACCACCTGGTTTTAGCAGAGATCCCGGCGACTCAGCTGAAGGTGCCTGGAACCCAGGGAGGTCTCCCAGTCGAGATGGAGTACTAACTGGGAAGAACCAGAGGACTGCCTGAGCCATGGACTTCTATTTCCTTTCCTGAGATACAGTACTCTGGACTGGGCAAAGGGGGAAGGAAGGAAGGAAGGACTGTGTCTGTGGGTCTTTTAAGGGACTTTAGGATTTTTTGATAAAGACATTAGGTCACTACTTTAAGTTTGTATAGCATTAAATAAACATTTCCTTTCCTTTTCACACACACACACAAAAGTTACACTTTTTAAACACACGGCATTATGGTTACCACATCTCTCAAGTGGAAGAATATAGGTAGCACAGAACAGTTTAGGATGCAATTGTGCAAAGCTTATCTGCACCCATTTCCATATTGCTGCACGTGTACAAAATGATGCAGAGGCAAACAAGAAGCTGCATCAGGCAATTGCCCTCTCCAGCAGCCTGGCCCTTTGGCAGCTGCAGGCCCTGCCAGTTCGTGCAAGGGCGGAGAGACTCCAGGCTTCAACCCTTCAGAGGCACCGTGCTGCGCTGAACTATCAGGGGGCTTGTCAGTAAACAATAATGTTTGCATCCTTATAATCATTGCGAGTATTATTTCATCACTTTATGAAAACTTTGCAAGTTATTTATTTAATTTTAGTACATACTGACCAGCACCTGGTTCAGAATATGGGGTCTGCAGTGAAGTCTTTATAGCAAGCTCTAAGATGATTAGAAGAGGGTACTTCACACAGGTAACTGAGAGAATCCTGGGGATTATGTCAGCGAGGTTCCGAAACCCAGTACTTTGGTAATTTGCACCAGATTTTTTTAAAGGTTTCAATGTATAACTTAATAATTATTCAATCCTGAAAAAAAATGCCTTTTTACTCCCATCATTATTCATATATAATGAGACAACTTTGTGTAATAAGTCATTATTTTGAAAATAATCAGGTTTGGTATGTCTGAAAAGTAAGAAATTTATATCTATGTTTTAATATGCTATTTTAAAACATAAATTTGACCAATTTGATGGTAGTCTTTAAATGAATCATGGAAATCTAAAGGACAAATCATTTTGTCACACATTTTACCAAAACTGTAACAGTGTATTTTAAGTACAAGTTTAGCTATTACTAGTATTACTCAGATTTTAGAAGGAACTGTCCATACAGAGATATTTACGGTATAACAATTATTATTTTTAAACTATTTTTGAAATAATGTTATATTTACAGAAAAGTTGCAAAGATAATACAGAGAGTTCTCGTATAGGTCACCCAGATTTCCCTAATGCTAATATCTTATATAACTATGGTATATTTGCCAAAACTAAGAAATTAACATTGGTATAGTACTATTAACTAAACTACCAAATTTATATGGATTTTACCAATTTTTCCACTGATTTTTCCTTTTTCTATTTTAGAACAGAATCTAAATACTACATTGCATTTAAAACAATTATCTTTTAAGTAAAAGTTTTAGAGAGGAAGTTATTTACTCATTTAAGCAAACATAAGACTTCGTAATTTTATGGCCATACTCACTACTAGATTTGGCTCTGTCCAATTTGTTTTTTAAATACTGGAGATTCTGGTGCTTAAGAAACTACTCAGACAAGTTAGAGTGAAAACACAAGGTCATTCTAGTGGAAGAGGTGTAGTGGAGCGGTTGAGCATAGGCCCTGAAGTCTGTTGTCCAGTGCTGAGTCCTGGCTCTGCCATTTGCTAGCTGTGTGATCTTGGGTGAGTTGCTTAACCTTTCTACACTTCAGTTTCCACCTTTTAAAAATGAGTGTACTGATAATATTATCTGCATCTCTCCTGAGCTATTGTGAAAAATTACGGGTTAATAGACGTAAAGTGCTTAGCACAGGGCCTGGCACAGTGTGGTGTGGGCCCGTCAGGAGATCATCACACCTTTGTCAGGCGCCTGCCTAAAGCTGGGAGCCCACCCCTACTCTGTGACAAAGACAAAATATAGGCACAAGGTGATGGTACTGGTGGAACAAGGGCAATCCATGTCAGTGACAGTTGGGGCTGACATTCCAGGGTCCTCCCACCAGCACCTCCATGGTTTCTGCCTGCCCGTGTTTGTAGATACAAAAGGTACATTCCATGTGAAAGAGTGTGTTTGTTTGAATCCAAAAGTGTTTAAAGAAAGAGAATGAGTCTATTTTAATTTATGCTACTCCCTCTTGGAATGACTCCTCCTTGAGAGCAGCAGTGGAGAGTGGGGTCTGACTCGCATGTTTTGGCTTGGACCATGGCAAGGCGGAGCCAGGAAATCAGACTGGGGTGCAGGTTTTGGTGGAAGTAGGTACTGGGTTTTGGACATGTTTAATTCAGAATGTCTAGGGATATATTATAGGCAGCAAAGCCCACAAAGCAGCTGGTAGAAGGTTCTAGAGCTTTGGTGAGGGCTTATTTTATTATTAAATATCAGAAAATCTATATTAAATTATAATCAAGTATTTTCTGGACAAAAAGTCACAGTTCAGTAAGCCAGCCAGAAAAAAGACAGACACTGTACCATTCCATTTACGTGGGATAGCTAGTACAGTGAAATCACAGAGAAGGAAAGTAGAATGGTGGCTCAGAGGCTGGGGGAAGGGAAGAAGAGAGAGCTACTGGTTATTATACATAGAGTTTCAGTTTTACAAGATGAAAAAAGTTCTAGAGATGGATGGTAGTGATGACTGCACAATAATACCACTCACTAAACTGTGTACTTAAAAAGGATTAAGATGACAATTTTGCCCTGGCTATGTAGCTCAGTTGATTAGAGCACTGTCCCAATATGCCAAGGCTGTGGGTTTGATCCCCATTCAGGGCACGTACAAGCATCAACCGATGAATGCATGAGTAAGTGGAACAAGTTGATGTCTCTCTCTCCCTCTCTCTCCCCCCTCCTCCCCCCTTAAAAAATAAATTAAAAAGATTAAGATAGTAAATTTTGTTATCTGTAAATAAAAAAATTGAAAGAAAAAAGCCCACAGTTGAATGCAAGCTTGAGATATTTCTTTAAAAACATACATATTTTATTGAATCTTCTAAGATTATCGGCTACTTCAATGGACTTAAATTCCAAGTTAAACTTAAATATAAAAGTAACTTTATGAAGGTAGTGATTCCCATATAGAAATTTCAGTTTATTTGAAATATTTTTAGTGTAAATAGAATGAGTGTCTACAAACAGTCTTCAGTGGATCCTGCTGTAAATTTAAAAGCATTCAGTGAGTATGTTTTACCCTTTACGTTTCCAGGTTCTAACTCCAAGACCTTTTCACAATCCTGAAAAGCACTGTTCCAGTTCTGGAGTTTGAGTTCTGCTTGAGCTCGGTTATTATAGGCCACTACGGTGGGAAGCACCGATAGGCTCCTATAAAAGAGACACTCATTGGCAACAGGCAGGCCAGTGGTAAATACAAGGCAGAGAAACTCAGCTAAAGTTGTAAATGAAACAGTTATAGCCTCTGTTATGCGCAGAATTGCGTCCCCCCACCAAATTAATATGTTGAAGTCCTAACACCAGTACCTCATGATGTAACTATATTTGGAGATAGGCTTTAAAGATGTGATAAAGTTCAAATGAGGTCATGAAGGTGGACACTAATTTGATATGACTGTTGTCCTTATAAGATGTCAAAAGTGAGGATGGGTAGGAGCTTTCAGAAAAGTATTGAAGAAAACAAGGCAAACACAAGTGAATTTATGATGAACCACAAATATAGTATCTTAAGTGATTCTGACAGATTATTTAGCTTACTTATATAATTTCAGCAATTAAATTTAAACAGTCATTTTTTTAAAAACTGGCAAGTTTAGGCAACAACAAAAATCTGCTTGCCTTGTGTAATATTTCACAGCTTCTTCGTAATCTCCTGAGTTGAAAGCTTCATTTCCTTTTTCCTTTTCACGAGTAGCAAGGAAATCCTTTTCCTTCTCAGTTAGACCTAGAAATAAATGTTATCTGCTTTAAGTAAAAATATAATTTAATAGAATATTTAAAAATTTTTGAAGTTGAGAATGCTTACTTTAGCAGAAACAGAAAATCATAAAATAATTAAAATAAAAGTTTTCCTAAGTTTAGTAATGTTTCCTTTCTTTTTTTAGTCATTTATAGTTTTTGAGGGTTTAGACATTTTATAATTGGTTTTGTTTTGCTTTAAAAGTGCTATACGCCTATGGACTTCAAATGGAAACAAATAAACTGCTCCATCATTTTTGTTTTGAGGCAAAAAGAAAATAAATTTGAGGGATTTGAAGAAAAAGAAGATTTGAAAAAAGGAATTAAAAACAAATGAATTACAGTAAAACACAGGTTTGTATTTTTAAGTTTTACTACATTTAAGTAGTATAACTTATATAAAATTAAGTAAAGGAGAGATTTGAATTTGTTAGAAGTGGTCAACATCAGGAGAAAAGTCCATAAACTTTTAATGAAAATCTGCAGCACTTAAAGAGAATGTCTTCTAGTTTTATAGCTATTATTGTTATTCAAAAAATTTAAAACTACTAAATCGTTCTTATTTTCCTGCAATTACCTGCTGTGTCTAATCTTGTCTCAATTTTAGACAAATGTCCCTTGTTGTTTACCAGAGGTTTTTCTTTGCCATCTTCATCAATTTTTGAACATTCCTTTTCCACATCAAATCTTAAAAGAAAAGAAGTACAAAAGCTGAAAAGCTGAAAAGAAGTACAATATAATAAAATAAAATTTATTACTGACATTCTTGTATTTGTGTCACTGTGCCTTTATACACATATTCCAAAAATGCGCAGTAGGTTTGTATTACAAGTTACCTGTATTCTTTCTTAGAAACCATATAATTTAGTGAGCATTTAAATATTAATCAGACTTAAACTGTTCAGAACTTTGTCATTAAGATTGTGACAAATTTCTCTCAATTTAAATTTTTTTTCTTATTTTGGATGGATATAAGAATTATATTAGTTATTTTTGGTTGCTCTTATAAACAAAAGGATGCTGAAGATTTTTATTTAATGAAAAAACAAAACCAAGAGTGCTTAGACCATATACTCTTAGTGCTCTACTCAAGTCCCTTGGTATTCTTGATATGTTCAGTTTCATAGTAATTAAGAAGTTATTACGGTATTTTATGATAGAGAATTTTTCAGTGACAAATTTTACATAAAGAAATATAAAACATACTTATCCCACTCTGCATAATCCCTTGGAATGTTCTTTTTAGCTGGTCTACCTTTAGAACATTTTTCCTAAAAGAATAAAATCATACTTTACGAGACATATTTAATATAAGATTAGCAGATTTTACTACAAATGCAATGTGAAGTATCGGAGTAAGATATATAAATTGAATGAGTAAGAAAAATAGGTACCCTGGAAGTTGTAACAACTCCAGTATTAAAATTATTAACATAATAATATATAGCAGGCTTTAAAAGGATTTTAAATTTGTAATTAATTTTCAGAGCAATCTACAGGACTTTAAGTATATACATAAAATTTAAAAACTCACATGTGTAAAATGTGATTATTAGTGATTTTCTTATAATAATAAAGTACTAAACTATCATTCATTCTTTTAAAACCTAGGGGAGAAGACTACTTTGCTGTATTAGCCAAAATTGGTTTGTTTGCAATAATAGGACACCCAACTTAAACTAATTCTATTTTAAGAGAATAAATTACTGGCTTATGTAACTAAACTGATGAAAGAAAGGAAGGACAGGGGTGTTGCCAGATGAAAGAGTCACGTGGTCTCTCTCTCTCCAACTCTCCCTTTCTCCCTGTCCCTAGTCTCTGCTTCCCTCTGCCTGCTGATTTTGTTTTCCCTGCTGGCTAATGCTTTTTCCATGTAGTAGGAAACATTGCCACAGGTAGCCTGGGATTATATCGTCCCAGACCTCCCAATCAGAAAGGAAAGGGACTCTTCATCCTTAGAGAAATCCCAGGGAAGGACTCTAGTTGGCTAGCTTGGGTCGTGTGTCCATCCTTGACCAAGCACTAGCTTGGTGCTATTAAGTCACCCACCCCAGGTCACATGCCCACTGCAAGCACCAGAAGGAAATGGGAGGGAAGCAAACAACAGCTCACAAATAGTTTCTCAAATGGTTTCTTAAAAGTTAGTCATAATCTGAAACCATTTGGAATGGTGGTGTAACACTGCGCATCGGTCGTGTGGAGTTAAGCAGATCTTCCAAAACATTCACATATTTCATTATACAATAAAGAACTATTTCTTTAATATCTTCATGGAGCTCATCAGAAACATCTAAATATGCTCCTTAAGGGGAAATATTTTTTTGTCACAAGCAGATATTCAAGAGCCACATAACAGTGTGAAATACTCTAAATTGTATTTGAAAGCTCAGGTATTATCACTGGCAGAAAATACTGCCGGTGGTTTTCCTTGAAGTGGCAGACCCACTTCATTCCTTTCAATGCAAAGTCTGCCAAGAAAGCCAAGTCTGAATAATCACAAATTTTTGGAGTAAAATTTATTCCAGGAAAAAGCAGAACAACTTAAGCTGGAGATGCAATCACGCAAGTCCTTTCCTTGAGATAACAATCACATTTCACTTCACAGTAAAATGCTTTCTGTGTACTTCCCATTTTGTCACACAGAATATTAAAAAGATGTGTCCTTGAGATTCGAGATTTAACAAAATAAGTTTGTCGTTTCATCAGAGACATTTTTGTGCTTAACTGAATTTTTTACTGAGTCTGCGGCAGTGAAGACACAACTGCAGTCGGTTTGGTGCTACCGCCTTGACTTGTGCTTGGGTGCTAGCACTTCTGTCCTCAGTACAAATGTCAGCATGGTGAAAATGACAAAGCATTAGCATGATTTTTAAAAATAGCATTGACTTTCTAGTACCCCGGGAGGATCTCTGGGACGACTAGGGTCCACAGGCCATTCTTTGAAACCGCTGTCCCATTGGTCTATCCGTCCCACTGGACTATAAACTCCTTGAGGGCAGAAGACCGAGTCTTATTCATCATTATACTTTTAGGGCACAGACTTAGCACAAAATGTGTCCAATAAATACAAATTCGTTGGTTACACATAGTGGCAACTTTACCACATTCCTGTACCTCAGTTACCTGAGTAATTCCTAATGTGGAGTAAAAAGATCCGGGAAGGTAAATGGTCAGAGGGCAGCGGCAAAGAGCAATGATGTTTTTTAAATAAAATTGAGGATTCAGAGATGAGATGAAAATAACAAGAATAAGTAAACCCAGAATGAAGAGACTGAGGTAGCCATCCTTTCTGAAATGATAGAAATGAAGTGTAAAAAGTAGGACGGAAAGGAATGGAGTGTGTGAACGTGTGAAAGACCGGAGACTCCCAGTGCCCTGGAAACAAGGGCCCAGTTCTGTCCTGCCCGGGCCGGTGGGTGCCACAAAGCTCAGCTGCAACTTAACCTTAAGCAGATGGACCTGGAAGTTCAACAGGCTCCTTTTCTGTGGAACCCATGGGTGAAAAGGGGGAGGTGTACATGACAGAACAGGGATCGACCACAGAGAAATAATCACGAGGGGCTGGAGATCAGGGGGAAAATGCACTAAAAAAAAAACCCCAAAATGATATCTATTACTACGTGAAAGTATCTGTTTAATACTTTTAAGTCCATAGTTAATTACGTAATAAACTATTACCTCTCTACCTCTACTGGATACATAAAATTATCCCCTGAAATTCTCACACAGTAAATTGGATCTTATGTGCTCCAAAACTAGTCCATGCAGGAGAGACAGAACAGAAAAGAAAAATGAAGAAAGTCAGTAAATCCCAGGATGCCTCATGAAGGTAATAGCACACGGCCAACTGAAAAACAAAAACCATCCTCCGCTCTCTTAGAGGACATCGCACTCCTGCTGCACTGGCTAGTTAGATTGGGAAGCTCTCAATAAACCACAATCTTCTCCCCACACCGGAGGGCCTACTTTGGCAACACGAAGACAGCTGTTTGAACCACGAACTGGAGGCAGATTTTCTTCCTTTTCTGGAAACGTTCCAGTTTCATGAGAGTGTATTTTATTTTCTTCCTTTTTAATTTCTGATACCCAACTCTGGGAAAAAGGGAGAAAAATGAATGTAAATACACAATTTGAAATAATTCACCAGGCATTAGAAAAGACTGTACATTATCAAAGTTTCCTGTGGGTTGGTCAAATTTTTAGGTGACAATACTCTCTACCTGGAGTGCTCTTCCTAACTCTTTTTTTTTTTTATTTTGGGAAAACACACATAACGTAAAATATTTACCTTCTTAATCATTTTAAGCATACAGTTCAATTTTGTTAAGCATATTCATATTGTTGTTGCCCTTCCTACTTTGTTTTTAATAGATGAAGGGTATTTTAATCGATCAATTACATGATTGATTCATGTAATTGCCAAGGCCACTATGTATGAGTAAGAAAGGTGGAGCTTTACTTCTCTGTCTCTTCCTTCTTGGATGGAATCTTGCTGATGTCCTCTTTCCTGGCCGGGAGCCATTCTTCACCACACTTGCCAGCTTCCTTGGTCTTAGACCTGCGGGCCTCAGCCTGGACACCCAGAAGCTCTTTGCGAGCCTTCTCCGCCTTCAGCTTGTGGAAGTGTTCCACGAAAATCTGTTTTTTTTTTTTTTTTAACACGTTCCCCTTCTCTTTCAGGTCAGGCTGCGGTCCATTCGGCGGTCAGTCTGCTGAGATTCACAGTACCTTCTGAGTAGCTGGGAAGAACTACCCCCTCCTCAGCCAGGTTACTTTCTCAGGCCTTGGGGCATTGGCAGCAGTGCCCTTTCGCTTACCTATGCCCATAGGTCTGCCCTTCCTGCAGGCCAAGGTGTTTTTCCAGCCTCGAATGGACAGCCACAGGCCCCGGATGATCAGCCCAGGAATCTGCTGACAGGAGTTGGCATTGGCGATTTCCTTGGTCTCACTGGGGTCTCAGCAGACCCTGCAGGCAAGGCTCTTCTGAAGCCTGAGCATACTCATGGCTGCTGCCGCCGCGGCAAAAGGCTGTCCTTCCTACTTTTATCTATCTTGCCAGATCTTATTTTCCATCCCTTCCGGCAAGCTTCCCCTGAACTCCCAGGTTGGACTGAAGATGCTTCTTCTCCATGTGTTAGCATAAAGATTTAAAATAATCCGTTTATTGTTCATTTCTCTCACCGGACTGTAAGTTCCCTGAGGGCAGAACCTATGTCTTAATCTCATCTTTACGATTCAAGAACATAGCAGTGTCTGGCATATAATAGGTTCACAATAATGGTCATTAAACCAAATTATCTGTCACAGGTGCCAAGAAAAAACTGAGTAAGAGATTTCTTTATTATACGTAAAATTCTATTAGTTATTATTCAGCAAATATACAGTGAGGGCCAGACATTACACTTAATAGTGAAAAGCTGAATGACTTCCTCTAAGACTGGGAACAAGAGAGTATGTGTTCTCACTTCAACACTATACTGAGGTCTCAATGCAGTAAGGCAAATAAAAGAAATAAGGTGGCCAGACTGGAAAAGAAGAAGTAAATCTCTTCTAGATGACACAATCCTGCAGGTAAAAAATCTGAGGCATTTGCAGAAAAAAGCTACTAAAACTAATTTGTTAGTTTGAATTTGCCAGGACCACAGGATACATGGTCAATAGAAAGAGGTCAATCAGATAAGTGTAAACTTTCGATGTGCAAATAAAGATTGAAATGAAAATTCCACTGGTACTAGGTATTTAGATCACTCAAAAATATAGAAACAGAAAGCAGAATGGCAGTTTCCAGACGGAGGGGGCAGGGGTGGAGAGCCGCTGTTCAGCGCATGCAGAGTTTCGGTTTCACAGGATGAAAGAGTTCTGGGGTCAGCTGCCCAACGACATGACTCTCCTTAACACCAACGAACTGTACAATTAGAAATTGTTAAGACTGTAAATTTTATATGATGTGAATTTTACCACAGTGAGAAAAATAAGATTTCTTAGCTGGAATGACTTAGAATGAGCAAAAAAAAAAAAATTGAAATATGAATTAGCAATTTGAATCCTAATAATTTATTCCAAGGAAATAACCAGATGGCAAAAAAAACTATAAACAAACATGTTTATATAGCACTATTAATAGAAGCTGATTGAAATGGTTCTTTCATAGGATGGAATATTATTTGGTCATTTGTACCACACACTTGTGTACACAAATACACTCACGCACTTACAATATTCTCCTGGGTGCAAGAAGCAACCAGTACTAAGTCATTACTGCTAAAAAGGCCTTTACGGATAGAAACGAAACCTAGAATTTCAGCTAAGTGAAGGGAATGTATACATAGCACGACATCACAAAAACTGGAGTTACTCTGTACCTTTATATCACCATCGATCTTTTCCCATTCTCCTGCTGTGAAACTGGATGCTGTCGCTGCAGGTTTATCTTTCCTCAAAGCTCTACTTTGAGGAGCCAATGCTTTAAGGCGCTTTTCACAAAATTCTGTAAGTTCAGGATAATATCCTTCCTCACCAGACCTTTAAAACATTTCAGAATTTTAGAGTTACTGCTTTATTTACAGATCATCTAGACCAGTGATTAGCAAGCTGGGTTCCCTGGAGTCCAGTTCTGCGGAGATCACAGGGACGGCCCGACTGCCCCGCACAAAGTGGCAGGTGGGGCTGCTGCTTCCCACACAACTTCCCCAACCAGGCAACCTCCATTATTAGGTTAATCTGTACAGTGATGCGATGAAAGAAAAAAAATGGAGCTCCAAAGACACAAATTTCCATCACACACTTTACACATCGCATATATAAAATTTTCTCTATTTAACACACGTGATGTTCGTTTTGTACATAAAGTAATTTTAAACTTAAAAATGGAAATTCAGTATTAGAGACAGGCAAAAAGGGAGACTTTGGACTTCCTTTCCAAGAGGGAGCTCCTAGCTTAACTTTTTGCAAAGGGATACAAGGAAAATGGCAGAGGCACACTTTAGAACAAAGTAACGCCAATTAAACCACTCAAGAAGCAGAATTCGCCTGGCTGGTGTAGCTCAGTGGATTGAGCGCGGGCTGCAAACCAAAGTGTCACAGGTTCGATTCCCAGTCAGGACACATGCCTGGGTTGCAGGCCACAGCCCCCAGCAACCGCACAGTGATGTTTCTCTCTCTCTCTCTCCCTCCCTTCCCTCTCTAAAAATAATAAATAAAATCTTTAAAAAAAAAAGAAGCAGAATTCCTTTCTTAGAGAGTTAAATAGAGAGCTCTGTTCTTTTCTTGTCTATTTATTTTTAAGGAAAATCAATCTTTTTTTCTCTTCTCTTGTAAGTCTGTTCATATTTAAATTTTTAGAAAAATAGAAATAAATCCCATTTTCAAATGCATTTAATTAGGTTATTCAGGGAATTTCTCAGAACCAACATTACTACTATGGCTTTCAAATCCTTTTATCTCATAAACTTCTCATTTTGTTTATCAGTCCTTGGTCAAATACAAATGAAAATGTTCTCATACTGCTGAGAAAAGCAGAAGGGAGAACAACAGTGTGGCTTGTATGTCCATTTCAGAAATGATGAGGTTACTACATGAATTCTGGCTGAGGACAAGCAGATATGCTTAGGGTGGACATGACACTAAAGGTGATGAGAGAGAAAAAGCAAAGGAAACAGCAATAAGATAAGAGGTCAGGGAAGAAAGAGAGCCACAGCAGAGCAAAAAGAAGTACTACTGATGTCCCCGAAAGGAGCAGTTCATGCTCCACAAGTGTTCCTGTGATACAGGGTGTCAGACTCATTTTCACCAGGGGCCACATCAGCCTCAGGGTTGCCTTCAGAGGGCTGAATGCAATTTCAGCTCCTTAACAGTTAAGGAGTAGTTACATTTATACAGTCCTAAATTATTTTGGCCCTTTGAAGGCAACTGTGAGGCTGATGTGGCCCCTGGTGAAATGAATTTGACACCCCTGATGTAGTATCAGGCTACTCTCTAAGGGAAACCCCCCACAAAACCGGAAATAGGTGACACAGGGCAGTGTTTCTCGAAGTGGGTTCCCTTGACAACCTGTGTGTCAATCAGCCAGGCACTTGTTAAAAACACAGGTTCCTGGGCCCCACCCCAGATTTCCCAGAAGCAGAATCTCTGGGAATGGGACCCTCAAATTTGCATTTCTAACAACCACATGTGCTGTATATTAAAGTTTTAACAATCACCGCTAAGGAGTTCTTAACCAGAGAGGGCCCTGATTCCCGGCCTTCTGGTCTTGCCTCCTGGCCTCCCCACCACCCTCCATGTGACCAGCTCACAGTGAGTCAGCCACCTTCACTGGCAGGTGGCATTAAGTGGGAAAGTGCCAAAGAGCATGCTCGGTGTGGGCTGGTGAGCCAACCTTACTTCACAAGGGCTACTCTCACAGCTACGTTTTCCTAGACAATGTGGAGGACGCAAGAAAAATGCCCTCCTTAATGCTAATCAGCCGGAATCGCATGCTGGAAGTGGACCCAGGCAGAACACTCAGAAGTAAGCACAGGATCAAAATCACTATTTTGGAGGCTAAGATGGGCAAATACAACAAGCAATCTTAACACCTGAAAATGTCCTCCAATGTTTCTAATATAGCTTCAACTTTTAGAAGGCAAGAACAATATAATTAAAATCGACACATCGAAACATGCTGAAATTATTTTTAAATGCTTACCTAAGCACACAAAGAATTTTTTCCAAGTGTTTAACGTCTGAACACTTTTCAATATACTTGAAATCCAAGTGTTCAATGGGAATTTTGAATGTTTTTGTTGTTCCAAAGCCCCACAGTGATGGATGATCTTTGGCAGCCATAGCTGAAATACAGTGTGGGAAAACAGTTATGAATCTAATATACATATATACACACATAATGTTCTATATATATATATATCTTAAAAACTCAATATGGTTAGTAGTAACCATCTGGGTACTTCCATAATAATTATTTTTCATTTCTATAGAAAAGGAGATGGAATGTTTTTTCCAAGGAGGAAGAGTACTGATTTTAAATTCTCTCTCCCTGATAACAACAACTACGATTCACAGAGCTAAATTACTATGTACCCATACATGGATTATCTCACTTAATCTTCATTTAAGCAATGTTGAATACAGTGACAAAACAGGTTTTGGTGCTATGGAGGAGGTTAAAAACAAACAAACAAGCAAACTTTTCCTCTACCTATTTAATTCCAGTAACTGAGACCTGGTGAATTAAATTGACAAAATACATGCTAATGGGAGAAAAGGTTTATTTTATGCATGTGGATGCTTCACAAAAAAAGTGGAAACTCAAAGAAACTGTTCAGTCTGGGGGTCTATATACCATTTTCACAAAGGGTGGTAAGTTGTGGAGAAGTAATTAGACAAAGGAAAAGGGGTTTGGGCTTCTAAGAGACAGTAAATATACAGGAGGCACTAGTTAAAGGTTGTTTTAGTAAGATTTGGTTATGCAGACTCTTCTCAGCACTGACAGTCCCTGGGCTGTGATCAGGGCTGTGATCTCCTGCTGATTTGGAGAGGTGGGAGAGCGAAACCTTCCAAAGGGAAATTTATTCCCAGCTTTTAGGCAGAAAAGGGGAGGGCAGAGAGTTCTTTCTGTTGATTGTTAATTTCTCCAGCTCAAAATAATCGTTATGCCTAAATAGCCTGTTACGGGGTGCTATACTGTGATCAGCTTTAGTACTCAAAGCTTTTTAGGATATCTTTTCTTAAGATCAACAAGCCGGTCATGTTGATTTGAATGACCTGCTTCTACTTTGGCTGTTTGTTAACATCCTGATCATTCTTTGCAATTGAGCACAAACATATATAACATTCTTTTTGTGACTCTCCTTACCATCACCCTCTTGCCCATTCCCTACAGCCTGCTTTCATCAGATCTGTGTTCTAATGGCACTCAGTACACACCTCTCATAGTACATAGCACATTCTAATTGTTTCTCTTCTCTTCTAGACTGTGAGATCTTACTTTATCCATCTTCATATCTTCAGGACTAATGTAAGTAGTGCCTTATACCTCGTAAGAAACACTGGATGAATTGAACTGAGACTAAGGAGGCCTGGTACAGTTTCATTCTAATGACACTACTACTAATGATGTTGGTGATAATAACAGCTAACACATAAAGTTTTTAATGTGTGCTAGGCACCACTCTAATTCTTACACATCTTACCTCACTTCATCCTACAGCTACTTCATCAGATAGGTTTTTTTAAAAGTAGAGAACAACAGAGATAGTCAACACTTCTGGAGCTAAATTACTATGTGTATGAATTATCTCAGTCTCCAAAATGGCTCTCATGAAGAATATTAATAAGTTCCATTTTACAGATGAGGAAGTTGACGTTTCAACTATTTGAACTGCTCAAGGTCATACAGCCAGAAATAGCACACTGAGGATTTGAATCTCAGTAGGCAGCTAGAGCCCACATACTTACTCATCACACCCGTTTTTCAGTGCAAGTGGCAACTCATGAAATCAATTTAGTGAGTTTCAGTCAGCGCTGTTTTATATTGAGATAGAACATACCATTATAGTTCATATTGTTTTGCAGAGCTTTTATTTCATGTCTATATAAACAAAAATTATAAAGATGTGTAGATATAAAACAAGTTACAAAGAAAAATATATTTCTTACTGTAATTGTCAAATTTTTTTTTAAATCACACACTAAAACATACTGGATGATAAATTTTAAGTAGCAGCAATGGGTCTAATTCATTTGAAATATTTCCTTCAGTATACCTGCCCTCTGGGAGTGTGCTCATGTATCAGACCTCTGCAGAAAAAGAGGATGTTCTGCCAGCTTTGCCTCCATATTCCTGCTGGCTTGAACTTGGGTATAGAAAATAGGGTCTGGCAGAAGTAGTGCCATTGAGTGTGGTTGGCAGGGTATGTGAATGTCTTACACGAGATGGACAGCAACTTGAACATTTCACCTAAAATGTCATATAGTGTGCTTCAGTGTGATATTGCTATATTACAGAATTATATGCTTGTGATTTTGTAATAAAAGATCTGGTATAGATTACCAGGTCATAAGAAAGGGGTGTTATTTGTGCGGGACCCTGGGGATGTCAGTTCAGCATTTGGATGAGATACAGTGGAGAGAGGATACAGTGGTTTTCACATCATACTGGCAGGGGCCACTATAATGAATGTCGCCTATCACAAGGATGACTTTAAGGGCAGAAGTTCCAAGAAAGCAACATAAAGAACTTTTTTTAAAAAGTAGATTTATTTACTTTTAGAGAGAGGGAGAAAGAAAGGGAGAGATACAAATGTGCAAAGTACATCCATTGGTTGCCTCTGCACGCCCCCAACCGGGGACCTGGGCCACAACCCAGGCACGTGCCCTGACAGGAATGGAACCTGCGACCCTTCTGCCCACAGGCTGGCATTCAATCCACTGCACCATGCCAGCAAGGGCAGAATTTTTAAATTATTGATGATGCCCAGAATAGAATGGGTTGCCCCAGGAGAATTTTTCCTAAGAGCTAGAGAATTTTTGCTGGGAGCAATTTAAGCATCTAATGGCATTAAAGTAGATTATATCAAATTGAAGGTAACTTGCAACACCTGATATTTTATGATTTGAATAAAATATAGTGGAAAACATTTGAAATGATAGACATCTCTTACCTAATCAGACTTTCATTATGGACACTATGTTAACATTTCCCTGAAAACTACCTTTTTTTTTTTTTTTGGCTAGGATACACATTCTCAAGACCACTGAATATGAATTCTCAAATTCTAAACACACGTTATACTTCATTTGATATCTTGATAACTCTTCCATATCTGTTTGCATTTGTCTCTGATTAGGAAAACATTTGGTCCTTGTTGGATTAAATTTTTTCTCCATCATCCTGATCCACATCCATTTCTTATACTTCTTATTCGGCTTATCAGAATACTTCCAGCAGAAACTGTGATGAACTAGAAACGCGAAAACCTGTTTTCTTCCCTCTTGCATCTTCCACCTAAGCATTCTTTCCGACATCCACAGGGCAGAGCGCCCCCTGCAGCTGGAGGCCGAAAGAAAATGACATCCTCCAGCCGTAGCAACGGTTTCTATGTATAACAGCGGAGGGACTGGTCTCGCGGGAGCCCTATGCCAACCCACAACGGTCAGGGGGCACTTTAAGACCCTATGAAATTGCTCCCTACTCCCCCAGCTTTGGTCTCCTAGACTGGTCGCCGCCGGGGGACCCTGGAAAGCCTCATGTTGTGAACCAGTCCCAACGTTAGCTGAAACAAAAGGTTACCGGTTGGTCCCCCGGCCCTGCCCCCGCCACCCCCACAAGGAAAGGACGTTCATTCCACCACGGGATCCCTCACTCAAGTCCCAGAGTGCATTTGCTCCTCCGTGTCGGCCATTCACCCTGGATCGGGGAGGGACTGCAATGGGGGGGATGAAATTTATTCCTGGAGGGCATGTACTCACCTGGTTCTCAGACCCCTCACGATGCGGAGGATGCGGCCGCCGTACAGGTGCCCCACTGCCTCATACGGCCTCAGCACCCAAGAGTGAGGGGCTGACTGCTGGGGGTGGGGATTAGGCCCTCTGCGGGATGATTGGCTAGTCCCCGACCTGCCATGCCGCTGATTGGCTTTACAGGGTCCTGCTTCACCGGGAAAGAGGATCATTAGGGGAGAAATAAGCTGGGTGGGTGGGAATGTGAGAGCTCCCTTTCCTTGCCTTTCCAATTCATTTCAGATCAAGTTGAAATGGTATTACTTTTAGATTATTATACTACCTGCAAGGTAAATTGATAGCTACTCCTACAGAATGTATGCTTACAGAAACATAATTACATTCACGGTCTCTACACTGCAACCTACCATTTACTTCGTCCTCTTTATACAGAAGAATAAAGGAAGACAAGACTCCCTCTTCGTTTCAACATTTTCTGAGTGCCGGTTATGAGTCAGAAACTGAACTAAGTGCCAGACACAAAAGTGAAGGAGACATATTACAATTTAGATAATAAATAAAACAGTAAAGATCATTTGGGAGAAAAATTTGTTTTGTAATTTCAGACTAGTTCAAATAGATAAAGCGCCTAGTACAGTGCGTGGCACGTAATAGTTCAAGAAACCTATTTCTTTTCCCCCTTTGCACTTAAGTTGCAGACCTTAACAGACACTGGTAGTGGTAAAAATTCTAATGCTCAAAATGTGACTATATTTATATAATTATTTCTATTGTTGGTGCTGGAGATTAAATTGGCACGTTTATAGACCCAAACTCAAACTCTGAAGTAATCCTTGTTTACTAAATTCTTGGTCTTGGGGAACAGGTATCACATCCCCCAAAACATGTAAAGCCACTTTGCAACTCATTCTAGCCAGCAAACTTCATTTAAAATTATGTCCTAAAACCCTCAGTCTACTGTATCTTCATGTTTTACTTCAAGGATAGGAAGAAATCCTTTAAATATTCAGGAAAGGAGCTGTAACTCTATATGCCCTGTAATTTTCTTTTCACTCGTATTTTTTCCTGGTAATTATGTGCACATAGACATTTACGCCAAATAAGCAAGGATAAAAAACAATTTGAAGGAAAAAGACTGTGGAGGGAAATGAAAATTGCCACTATGTCTTCACTGAGAGACCACATTGCATCCAAGAAACAAGGAGACATAAATACAAAGAAAAACTAAGCTTAGAAATGAAAAGTATTATACAAGAAATAAAAAACTCAGTAGACGGATTAGAAAGTACTGGTAAATCTTACAGTGCAGAGAATGGAAAAAAAGAAAAATGAGAAAGTTAGATTATATCTAATATACTTTTCAAAATAACAGGGTAGGAAGTTATTAAACAATTCAAGATAATTTCCCATAATTAAAGAGCTTGGGTTTCCAGTTCAAAGTACCCAAGTGACCAAAACAGTGAAAAACACACAAAGGCACATAACTATAAAATTTCAGTACACTGGCAAAAATTCTAAGTTTACAGAAAGAAAATGGGTCACCTACAGAGGATTAAAAATAGAATGGTTTTGGACTTATCAATAATACTGGAAGCTAGCAGACGATACAAAAATCTTTCAAAATCCCAATGCTGGTGAACACCAGAAAAGATAATCCCAGACAGACAGAAAAGCATGAGGAAAAGGGAAAGGCAAGAAAGCAAAAACAGGCCTGAGACTTGCTTAAGGAACTGCATACTTCTCCTTAGAAACGAAAGACTGAGAAATGGTTTGAAGTGGCACCAGAGGTAGGAGTCAGATTATTATGGGCCAAATACGCTATTCTCAATCTTTTTGGTTTTAGTGAAATGAGGAGCCACTGAAAATTTTCAGCAGGACAGTACCATGAAATTTGTATTTTTGAAAGAGCAGTCTGAGGAATATGGAAGGCGGCAAAACCAGTTGCTGAGAGACTAATCCTAAGGCCAGTTAACAATCCTGAGTGGAAAATAATACAGTAACAGTAATAATAATTAACACAGGCTAATATTAGGCTGAGTTTTGATGAATTGTCTTGCAACAAACCTTTGAAGGTAGGTACTATTATTTCCTGCCTATGGTACAAACACGGAAAGTGAACGCTGGTAAAATCACGCTGCCAGCTAACGAGGGACATTTATTCTTCCTCAGAACCAGTCATTTCTGATTTCTTCTATTATTTTTGGATTTTTCATAACCTTCAATCTCTATGACTTCAGAGTCTCAAAGCACTGTACAGACCATCATTAATTCCTCCACTTTGCTAATGAAGGTAAAGTTGAAAGAAATGAAGTGAACCAACCAGTCATTGAGTAGCAGGGCTGGATGTAAAGCAATATCCATGCCTTTGTCATGGACATGCATGTCCACAGTCATTGATAAACAGCTTAGTAGGGAACAAATTATATGTTAACTTCAAGCCTGGATTTTTTAATATTTACAGAGCTATTCAAGAGTCTTTTTAAAAGCAATTTTATAACTATATTACCATTTTTTTGTTAAAACTGTCCAGATAGGCAATAGGTAAAATTTACTTCCATTTCACAGATAGAGACACAAAGGTAAGTGACTGAAATGGTGGTTGTGAGTTCCAGTAGTAATACTTTTTCCATGAAACAGCTGTCTAGTTAACCAAATAACAGTATTTAATTAAACTACTGATATGCAAGGGACCTATGTTGGAATTAGAGCAGTTAAGAGCAACATCACCCAATGAGTTAGGGTTTGTTTAGGGGGTTGTCATAAAGAGATACCTTATTTGCTAGGAATCTTCTGTCTAAAAAGGACAAAATCAATAAGGAATATAGCTGAATTATAAAATTGCGAAAGCTGTGGCTAAAGAAAATCTGTACCAAGGAAGCATTCTTTAAAATTTTGAGCATGGTAGTATTTTTATATAGCACATAATACACTTATAGAACTTAGCATTCAAGAATAGTAGAAATATGGATTTTTTAAAATGGCATGTTTTGAATATCAGAGACACACACAGCTACTAATAAAGTTGCAGATCTTCAAAATGAATGTTACAGAAGCCAATATGATGTTCCATGATGATAAACTCCAGGGACAGACAGAGTGTCTGACCATCAATGTCCCCAAGAGCAAGACAAAAGTTTTGAACATGTATCTAGTAATTCAGTGTAAACCAATCCTACTCTTTTTATATCTTGAAAGCAGGTTTTGTTTTTTTTACTTTAATGAGTGAGTATGGTTGGAACTGCACGTGCCTGAATAGTCTTCATTTTCTTTATGTGGGATTGACTTTCCTTTTCAACAAGCAACCATTACTTTTTTCCCCTCCCCTAAGATTTACAAAGTAGTCAGGCATTACATACAGAGAGACCTACTTCAAGTGTCAAGTGAGAAATGAAACGCCAAACGATGTATGCACGCTGACAGTAAGTGCATTGGTACATTCCATTCAAAATGATAGTGGAGACTTCACAAACAGTTGGTAGTATAAAACTTTATTTCTAACAAGGGCTTCAACGATTCCAAGGTTTGATTAAAAGTGTGGTTTGGGGGAGCACTTTTACCCTTCATTGTATCGGATGACATAAACAATAAAATTAAATTACAAACAATGGAACAAAAAATAATTTCCTTACATAAACTATTAACAGATACCTAAATATAATATGGCTTTAAAATGAAATCATATATATATAGTTGTATTCATGAAATAAGTATACTACTTAAAAGCTATACATTAACAACAAATCCAAATGCAAACAAAGATATTTCTCTGAATTCCGTTTCATCGAGCATCAAAAACCACCACTGTATTAAACTGAGTTAAGAAAAATTTTTAAAATTACATATAAGACTTAATACTTCCAAGTCACTTTCTCTTTACAATAAACTAGTTTGCTATTTAATCTAAAATGCACAAAAGTAAGGAATTCAACACTATGACAATAACACTTTCTGAAAAACCATTTCAATTTTCATTAGCTGTCTTTCCATGATAAAAAAGACCCATACATGGAAAAACACATACATGACCCATACATGGAAAAACACTGAAGCAATGTTAAAGGAGGTGACATATTTGTATTTCTCCTTCTATAATTTAGTTTATCCATAAACTCAAGCTCATGAATGAGTACTCAGTTATATAAAGAATCCCTTAAAAACAGACTTAAGAGAACCAAAATCAACTAGTATTAAGATTATACAGTATATGCCTCTACCCTGGCATACTGGTCCATGAAAATTCTGATCACGTCTTTTTTCTTTTTGGTAAATAACCCAAAAGTTATTACCATTTTTACCAGAAATTACTCTTTGACTATCAACCCAAGCATTATTCTTAACTTCCTCCTACCTCATATTTAGAAAGCATAGTTAAAAGGATACATCTTTTAGTCCTTTTCTTGTACATTATTCTGTATCCACATTCTCTGCATCTGATTGGATCCCTGGATTTTATTTCATTTTCTGTGTGACATTCTGGAAAAGAAAAGACATTAATTCAGTATCCAAAAAGAAAACATTACAGACAAGCAAATTATCTTAACTATATTTTTTACCCAAAGCACTAAAATATGCTCAATCTCAAGGGTATGTTCTTATTACCAATATACTAAGGGGGGAAGCAAATAAAAGTTGGGGCAATCACTTTTTCTAGGAGAGAAAATGCAATCTGCAGAGGATTTTTATGGTAGCTAAACTGTTCTGCTTTATAACTTTAATGATGAGTGAGTCATTTAAGCCAAAGAGAAAGTGATATTTAAAAACTGAAATAAATACTTTTACTTTATTTAAGTGTGACTCTTACCTCCACAGATATATATCATTGGCTGCTGCTTTGGAGGTTGGACGTCCTTCTGGGTGTCCATTTTTAGACCCTGAAATCACAGATTGAAATTCTGAATATTTCAATGGGGTTCCTTGCAAACCCAACCAGCCCTCATTTTTCTCAGAGAACGCTAAAAAGGTCCCAATTCCTAATCTATACTTTTTCAATCACTATGCATTGGCCTGAAGGACGAAACAAAGAAAAAAAAACACTACGTATTGAGAACTTACCCCCAAACTTGACAAAATAATAATACACGTTATTTCATTTATACATGTTATTGCATAATAATTTTTACAACTCTCCTAGGAGGCATTACTTTCATTTTACAGATGAAGAAACCCACGTTTAGACAATATGCGCGGGATTATTAGGAGGCAGAGGAATTCCGAACTGACTGCAAAGCTCGCATTCTCATTTGGCACATGTTCTATTTCTCCAAATTTAGGCAGGAGACCGCCAAAAAAATTTACCTCTCAGAAGGGGCACATGTGACCCAAAAATAAGAGATTTATAAAATACTGTAACTTCCAACTGCGAAGCAGCTAAACTGGGAGAAAAAAAAAAAAAAACTAGGCAAAGGGCTAACAGCATCTACTCTATCCCCAGACTCTCCTAACTCTAACCCAACACTAGACCTTTAAATCCCAAACGACTTCCTAGTTTTGGCCGAAATATCCACCCCCAAATCCCAATCAGTCAACTCCTTACAAAGATAGGTTCCACAAACTCCTCACTCCGTTTCCAAACAGACTGCGGCTCGCCGTGGCGTTGCAGCAAACTTCCGGCGCTAGTCTGTGACGCAAGTGGGGTCTCCGCCCCTTCCGCCCCTTCTTCCCTTTCCATTCCAGGGCGGTGTAGAGGTACCCGGATTGAGCACGGGGGGAAAAGCTGGAGGTTTTGTATGTTAGGTGTGGGTGGAAGTTCCTGTTTCGCTTTCACATGTTTTCATTTCTCAGGAAAGCAAAGCATTTTAACAGTTCCTCAAGTTTAACGAGATTTTTTTTCTGACTAATGAAGTGGGTAAAAAGTAGCACCTCCAGGAGGGTAGAGAATTGGAGAGAATGCGAAATGAAAAATGCCCGTGAAATTCTTCTAAGCTAACCGTTACCCCGAGGAACACAAAAGAATCTGCTCCATCGCCTATTTTCACGTAGGAAAGCACCTTTCGGGTTGTTTTTCAGATCATTTGTTGTCTCTGCTGAGGCAGCAGAACAGCCAGCCTGTCCTCATAATTTTGTTTTTGCATTTCGACCCTTTCTCTGTTAAGACTCCGGTTACACTCTCAACCATTTCTTTTCTCGTTTTACAGCAAGGGCTGGCCTGAGAGTAACCACGCCAACTACTCCCACTTAAGCTAAGGGATTTTGGTAGCAAGAGCTGGCCACCGACCCTCCTTCCGTCCCCTAGAGAGGTGTTTTTTCAAAGATCGAAATTTCAGTGACAATATCAGTTGGGTTCACAATATTTACATTGGTTTGCTTTTCTTTCACAGTAGGTATTTTACTTAGAAGAAGAGAGAAGAAAATTAAGTTATTAAAATTTATTTTAAAACTTAACCAGTTAATAATCATTTTAATAGGAGAAGCGGTTTTCTACCTTCCCTTATTTACTATGTCTGGTTTCTTCTTAAGCAGGCTATACTTTTTTCCCATTTTTCATTCAGCAGGTGAGAACGTTGGGCTTCACCCTTCATTTCCAGGAGGACTTCCAATAGATCGCTCCTCCACAGACCAGTTTGGGAGATTTCACTTGATCTTCCCAGTCTTCCTAGCTGCCAATTTTTTTTTAATTTCCAGGGAAACGCTGTGGAGTTTCCTGCTTTTTCCTCCAAAGACAGGCTAAGATAGAGCATAAATATTTTGACCCTCAGCCCTCTTACAAAGTACCTGTCCTCTCAGCCAAAGTGAAGAATATTTAAATAAAATAGTCAAAACAAGCTTTCCTACAAGAAGTATTAGGTAATGAAGTATTACAAGTATGGAGTAATCCAGAAAGTGTAACTTTAGTCATTGTACGCTGTCCTGGATTCTGAGTCTCTGGTTGAGGTATCAAGATGATTCTGGCCTATAATATAGCCTATGGGGATCAGAATGGATGATGCAGGTAGAATACAAATGGGTCCTGGACCCTACAGAGGGGTAGGGTAATGACAAGTGGTGGCAAGAAGATCTAAAATTTCAGCAAGAGTTCATGTTTGATGCCAGTCCAGATCCAACACCCTCCTTCCTTTCAGCAGGAACCAATAGTTTTAAAAATACAATGGGGCATGGTCAGTGGAAGCTATTATCAATGGTAACAGCCAACTTTTCTTGAACACTTACTATGTCCCAGACATCATTGCATTTCCCTCCCTAATGAGAACATTTGTCTTGCCATTTTGTATACTAGTGCTTTTAATGCCTGATGAAATGGTTATAGAGGTGCAACTTGCTATTCTCCCCATGGATCTGTTTTCCTTTTTTTTCTTGAATGTGATCATTTAAGTATATCTGCATAGCTTGAATGCCATAGTGATTGAAAAAGTCTTCCATTATGTTTAACCAGATGGTCCCAGAAGAAGTTTTAGATCTTGTGGAAAACAGATGGGTTTCAGAAACCTGAGTTTAGTAATGGGATGACACGTAATCCAGAAAGGAAAACAAAAAGGTCCTTTCTCAGGACCACACCCAACCAACTGGCTGGGGCCCTCAAGAATTTTTTGTGTCCTCGCCTCAAACAAATCTTAGTTTCCAGCTATAACAAATTGTTTAGTGTTTCTAGTGCTTCCAACTGTTTCAATTTTCGTAGTCCTGCACATTTTGTTTTGAGTTTGGAGTCCCCTGTTAACTCCTCTTAAATCGTCACTTGTCCTTCAAAATCCATCTCACTTTGTGAAGTTAGCTCTGCCCCCCATCCCTCTTTTTTTGCGCCACCAATGTTCCTCTATTTCACAGGTGGCAAACACAAGGCCCAAGGGCCAAACCCAGCCCTCCACCTTGTTTTATCTGGCCCAGCACCTTGTTTCTACCCGACTGCAGCACTGAGCTCTCACTTAACTGTTAAGGAGTTGTTACATTTGTACAGTCCTAAAATTACATTCGGCCCTTTGAAGGCAACCGAGAGGCTGATGTGGCCCTGGGAGAAAATGAGTTTGACACTCCTGCTTTATTTATAGCACTTAAAACGAGTGAGCTGCCTCAGGACAGTAACTGTACCTTACTCATCTCTGGATTTCCAGTATTCAAACCAGTAATTGGCAAATAGTTAAAGCTTAATCATTGTTAGTGAACTTGATTTTAGATATATGTAATTTGGGGTGACTAAGGGGCAATCAGATGGAGAAATGTCCAGTCAGAGGAGAGTGGCAGTAGCAGCTGCTATTGGCTTAAAAGTAATAGCATTGAAGGTGAAGCACAGAATGGTAAAGTAAGGAAAATGCTGAGGCAGGACACCTCATTTAGGGAACAGGCAGAGGAGAAGCCTCCAGAAAAAGCAGAACAGAAAGAAGCTGCCAAGGGCAGAGGGATGGAGCCTGGCATATAATAGGTGCCCAGTAAATAAGACATCAATTTTTAAATGCCTAAAAACTAGTCGTAATCCTGTCTAGGAATAAATACTGTAACCAAGTTAGTCAGACTTTCAGACCTTATCCTGTGTACATCTGTACTTCTCATTGAAAAGGGGTCCACTCTGCTTGTCATCTACTTTTTAGACTTGATTATCTCTGGAAACATCTTCAAGTGACCATTCTGCTTTGTTACTTTTAATAGCATCCACTGTAGGGCCTATTAGCTTTTCTATATAATGCTCCCCAAGGTGAGAATGAGAAACAGAGGCTCTAAGATCTCTAAGATCGGGAACCCCTTGCGGTGCTTTGGGTGGGGATGGAAGGCTGGGGCGGGGCCTGCGTGCGGCTTGGCGGCCCGTGGGGGCGCTGCGGAGCTGGAGGAAGGGGCGGGGCGGGGCGGTTACTCCGGCGGGCAGTTCAAACCCTAGGAGGGAAACGCGACGGCCCCACGCGAAGTTGGCGTAGGGGTTGCCACAGCCGGGTCTCCCTGGGGGCGAGGCCGTAGCTCCTCCCCGGCGTACAGGGCTGCGCTGCCTTTCTCCCCTCCGGCCCGTCTGCCTCGGCTCCCCTCCCCGCCCCGCGGCCCGGTCGGTGCGGCGGCCCCTTGGTGTCCAGTGGACCGGAGCGGGGGCCCAGGTGTGTGCGGGCTAGCGGGCCTTCGGGCGGCCCCGGCCCCGGCCCCGGCCCTGCGCCCCACTTTGCTTCCCAGGTGCTGGGGCTAGAGAGGCGCCTCAAAGCCTTCCACACCACTCGTTCCGCCCCAGGTGACACCCACCCAGACTCGGCCCTGTCGGTGGCTTTCCGGGCTCGGAGCCCTGGCGGCCCAGCTGAGCCTCCCCGCCAGCCTGGCCGCGGAAGGTCGGGCGGCGACGCCGCGCTGAGACCGTTACCCACCCACCCGCGCGCGGGGAGCACCTCGGGCATGGACGACGGCGCCTCGGCTCACACTGCGCTTCCAGGAACCCGAATTTGAGAAGTTTCCCCGGTTCTAAGACTAGCTGGAGAAAATAAGGATATTAAAATTCCCGTTGTCCGGAAAAGCTGAAGGAAATTCAATGTGATTGAGGCCTTTCCAAGTGTTAGAAATAATTCCTGCAACATGTACTTTCCGTACTCTTCAAACGTTAGCAGTCACCGTGCTACCGCACAGTTCAATTAAATGTTCAAACTGAAGTTTTCTCTTTAAGTGGTCTTCCTTTGACATGAATTTTAAAGGCAAAGTGAGAGATTTTCTTGTTTGGAAGGCTACATAACTTTGACATCTAAGAGCTCAAGATTTTACTGATGGTAAGACTTTCCACATTAACAGATGAAGGAGATTTGGTTTTAATGTAGTTAAAAACTAAGTATTTGACAAGAGCTTTTTTTCTTTTTCTCCCCCACCCCCTTTTTTTTTAACAGCATTTGTAGAGATACGTGTTTCCAACCCTTTATCCGGAGTCTGGTGTTAAAAACTGAATATCGAAGAGGCTTGTTTGATTCACCACTGAACTGTTGAATCAGTAAAATTAAGTAGGTCAATGGGCATTCCATTATTTGGCATGCATACTTTCAAATGATTTAAAAATTAGTTTCAAAGAACCAAGTTTTGTTTGAGACCAATTTTGTAGGGTAGTGTAAAGAGGAACATGTTGACAATAGAGACAGCACGTTTCAGGCAACTTCAAATGTATAGGTGGGCAGGAAACAGTTGGAAAGTCTTTTGTGTGTTTATAACGAGTAACCTATGGCTTTTAAGGGGAGAGGATGGTATCTGCATCCTTACTTTGTTTCTAACAATTTATATCCCCGTTTCCCAAATTCTAGCACGGTGAGACACCTAGTGGTGAAGTAGTGGAATAGTCACATTTGTTTTAACTTGATACAAAGATTCCTTCACTGAATTTTAGCAAACGACATGAGTGGAAACGGTTACTTAACAGAATGATTCTGAGAGACGGGGAGACATTCGTGGTCGGAGGTGAAATGTTAAAACACTTTCTATCTTATTAACATTTTGAAAACAGATTGTTTTGAAATATAATACAAATTATAGAAAGCAAAAGTTGATAGTCTTGACTGGTAAGCATGTATAGAAGAAGCATGTATAGAAGATTGCAGTGATTCTCAGGATCTGAGGGTCTCTAGATCAGAGGGAAACGTGTGGAATTTACTAGAAAAGAATATAGGTTGAAAGACACAGATACTCTGCCCAGCAATGGTGATCTTCCAATGGTCATTATATCATAAAGAAAC